TTCGCGACGGGCACTCGTGTCACGGTGCCTGAGGTCCCTGTGGACCTGGGCGTGAGTTTTTGGATTTTGATAGCGTGGAACGATGTCTGGTCTTCGATTCGAGATATGATCTCATCCTTGGTATAGCGTGGCTGGAACGCCACGAGCGTTGGATAGATTGGAGGTCGAAGACCCTTGGTGCTACGCACTTCTCTCCTGGCGGAGCATTGGCGAGTCATGAACCCACCTCTGCTAGGAAGCAGAAGCGCTTTTGGCGCGAGCACTGGACCGAGTCGGTCAATGTGCTGGACATCGGAGTTTCCGAGTTGGTGGACACTGAGTGTGTCGAAAATGAGCGTTCCGAGCGTGGCTCGCGGACGGCAGGTGGAGCGGCACGAATTCCGCTGAGCGGGTGTGCGTCTGAGGGCGACGCCTTGCTGCGTGCCGGTGAAGGCGTGGTCGACAGGAAGTCGAGTGAAGATGGGCGTTGCCCGGATCAAGGATGTGGAGCGGCAATAATTCCGCTGAGCGGGCGTGCGTCTGAGGGCGACGCCCTGCTGCGTGCCAGCGACGGCGCGGTCGGCACGATGCCGAAGAACAAGGGGCTTTGCCCGGATGAAGATCGTGGAGTGACACGTAATCCACTGAGTGGAGGCTGCGGATCGTGCAGCTCTTCGCTGAGTACACTGGAGTTCCCCCGGAGCTAAACGAGGTGGTAACACCTGACGTCAAGACACACGCGAAATCACGGAGCTCTTCAGGGCGGACGGTGTCCATGAAGAGGAGGCAGCGCCGCAAAGCGCTGGCTGCGAGACGCAAGGCGTCTGCGATCTCACGAGTCGAGAAGGGCATGTCGAGCGGCGAGGCTCCACACGAGTGCGAGCAGCTCTATACACTCGTGAATGGAGTGACGGGCGACGTCGACGGAGGTATCAACCTCGACGACTTGCCCTCACTGTCTGCTCTCCTAGAGCTGGACGAGATGTCCTTCGCCGAACTCGGCCAAGGACATCCTTGGCCGAGTTCGGCGAAGCCTTGAAGGCTAGAGACTTGGCCGAGGTAGTGGTCATACGACCCGAAGAAGAGTTGAACTCGCCCTCGCTTCTGGATGAAGCTGTCCTGGGAGACACCAAGAAGGCGCTGAATGCGCGGAGCGGATCGGCGATCCTGAAGGACCCGTCGGATCCCTTGAATCAAGTGGTAAAGGATTACCAGGACGTGGTCTCAAAGGACCCGCCCTAGGGGCTACCTCCGGATCGAGTGTTCGACACGAAATCGATCTCGTTCCGGGAACGAAGTACTGCGTGACGAGGCAGTGGCCCTTGCCGAAGGAGCAGTGTGACGTCATTGACGCGTTCTTCCGTGCGAAGCACGAGGCGGGCATGGTGCGTGAGTAGGGCTGTTTCGTGCAGTGCTCGAAAGTGTACGAAAGTACTTTCGTGCAGTGCTCGAAAGTGTACGAAAGTACTTTCGTGCAGATTCATCAGACCTTTATTACGGAGATAGCCCATTAAGACATCAATTGCGTTTCTCTACTAAGTACGATTAAAGCTCTTGAAATTACAGGCATAACCCTACCGAAACTGGTGCACGAAACAGCCCTATGCGTGAGAGTAAGTCTCCACACTGTACGCCGACGTTCTGTGTCAGAAAGCCGAATGGCAAGTGGCGTATCGTGCATGCTTTCAACAAGCTGAATACCGCTACCATTCCGGCGCAGACGCCGATTCCTCGAAAGGATGTTCTCTAGAACAACATGACAGGATTGTACGATGTACAGTGCGCTCGACGTGGTCGATGGATATTACCAATTGCTCATGAGGACGAGCGACATTCCTCTCACTGCGGTGAGTACTCCGAGCGGCATGCTCTGGGAGTGGTTGGTGATGCCCCAAGGGCTTTCGAACGCGCCAGCGACGTTTAATCGTCTTGTGACGCAGCTCTTCAGGCCCCATCGGGCGTACGCGCAAACGTATTTCGATGACATCTTTGTCCACAGTCGTGCGGAGCACGGAGAGACTGATATGGAGAACCATGTGGAGCACCTGCGTGCTGTGCTCGAATGCATGCGTCAAAACAAGTTGTACGCCAACATTGACAAATGCATCTTCGGAGCGGAAGAGATCCCCTTCTTAGGATGCTTCAGCGGGAAGCGTGGCCTGAGGGCCGACCCGGTCAAGGTCAAGGCCATTGTTGACTGGCCGGTTCCCAAGAACCAGAAGGATCTTCGCAAGTGGCTTGGCTTGGCCAATTACTTGCACAAGTACAGCGAGAACTACGCTGAGATGGCTCGGCCACTCTCCAATCTCCTGGAGAAGGATGCGGAGTGGTGTTGGGACACCGAGCATCAAGATGCGTTTGCGGCAATTAAGGACAGTCTCCTTCATGTGCCTATTCTGGCTTTGCCAGACCCCGCTCGTCCGTTTAGTGTCGTCTGTGACGCCTCGAACTTTGCCATCGGCTGTGCCCTGCTGCAAGCAGACGCCGAGGGGCGCGAGCGCGTGGTGGCGTTCGAATCTCGCCAGCTGAAGGCTGCGGAGAAGAACTATCCTGTCCACGACAAGGAGCTACTTGCAATGAAGTATGCGCTCGTCAAGTTCAGGGTTCACCTGTTGGGCTCTCAGCCGTTCGCGATTTACACGGATCATGCGTCGTTACGCACTGCGACTCAGTCGCCTCATCTCTCGCAAAGGATGGCCCGTTGGCTATCCTTCTTCGCGGAGTACAACTTCGAGGTGAAGTACAAGCCTGGCAGGCAGAATGTCCTTGCGGACGCGCTGTCGCGCAGGCTGGATTATGAGCTGGCTCATGTAACGACCGTGACTTCGCCATTACCGGATCTGATCCGAACGGCCTATGCCAAGGACGACACTTGTGTCGCGTTGCTGAAGGCTCTGGGGGGCAAGGAGTTTCAAGACTCGGACATGGAATTGTCAGCGCGGCTGCGCGCGCGGCTACACCGTTATTCCATCGATGGGGGCATGTTGTTCTACAACACCGGCCCCGAGGATACGCCCCGCGTGGACATCCCTCGTGATGAGGATCTGAAGTATCGCATCCTCTATGAGGCACACGACACGCCGCTGGCCGGCCATCTTGGCCGTGAGAAGCCCTACAGCTCGGTGAGCACCCACTACTGGTGGCCGAAGATTTATAAGCGGACAAGCACTTATGTGCGCACGTGCGAGACGTGTCAGCGAGTGAAGCCGTCACCTCATGCTGCAGCGCCGTTGGCGAGTTTGCCTGTCCCTTCGGGCTGCTGGCAATCCATGAGTATGGACTTTGTGTTTGGCCTGCCGGCGGACGCGGCGGGCAACACAGGAGTCGTGGTCTTCGTGGACCGACTGAGCAAGATAGCTCACATTGCGGCTGTGCCGGATACCATCGATGGTAAAGGTACAGCAACGCTGTTCTTGGACCGAGTGTTTCGACAACACGGATTCCCGGAGTCGATTGTCTCGGACCGAGACCCCCGCTTCACGGGCCACTTCTGGAGCGCGGTCTTTGCGGTGCTTGGCACCAAGCTGGACATGTCTACGGCGGACCATCCGCAGACCGATGGTCAGACAGAGCGCGTGAATCGCGCGTCGTCGAGGACGTGCTCCGCAGCATTTGCGCTGAGACGCCGAAGCGCTGGAGCGCCATGCTGCCACTCGTTGAGTTTGCGTTGAACAACGCCGTGCACGCCTCGACAGGCTACACGCCGTTCTACGTGAACAGCTTGTCTCATCCCCGCGTCCCGCTGACGCCGCCACGTGGTGGCCTCGGGCTTGGTGGGGGAGGAGAAGCCGATTTAGCTGATCGGCTAGCCGATGTCAGCCCGGCTACTGTTCGTAAACAGGTTGACGCTTTCTTGTCGACGCGTCTGAGTGTCTTACGACATGTGCGTGACGCAACGGCTGAGAGCCAAGACAAGCAAAAGGAACATGCAGATGCCAGGGGCAGAGGCAATGTTGAAAGTTTTGAGGTCGGGGACCTGGTGTTGCTTAATGCGAAGAACCTACCTACACATGCAGTGTCTGCCGTCTTCAAGACGAAGTTGCGCCCGCGCTTCATCGGACCTTTCAAGGTTGTGGCCAAGAAGGGCCTTGCGTACACGCTCAATCTTCCGAAGAAGATGCGGACGCACCCCGTCTTTTACGTGGGCTTGCTCAAGCCGTACCAGGACCCGATGCAGGTGCGGATGGAGGCACAGCGAGAGCCGCAGGCGCAGGAGGCGCGGCAGTCGAAGCCTGCATGCGGGCCAGGAGGTCAAGCTGACCCTGAAGCACAGCCTGCTGACGCTGTAGCTCCCCGATCTCCCGGCCACGTTGCTCATCGCGATCGCGATAGTATCGCACCCAGTCCTCCAGGGCCCCAAGGCGGTCCCAGACCGCTCAAGGCACCTCGATCCATCGCGTCCGCTCGGCGAGCTCGTCGAGTTCGGTGGCAGTCCGGCCCAGACGTGCATCAACGTCATGGATATGATCCCGAAGGCGACCCGCCTGCTGCCGCACCACCAAGATCTCACTTTGAGTCGCAAAGGACCCCACAGCGGCCTCCACCGGCCCTGCTCGATGAGTATGGGAATCTACATTACCATGTGGAGCGCCTCCTGGCGAAGCGGCGGTGCCGGGGTCAATACCAGTATCTGGTGAACTGGCGAGGGTACCCTCACTCCGAGAACTCATGGGAGTTTGAGGTGCCCCTCCGCCAAGACTGCCCAGACGTCGTGGACGCTTTTGACCAGCTTGATCACCAGCGCCCCGAGGGCTCAAGGCCGGCACGCCGGCCGTCCCGCGCTTCCCGGCAATAAGCTGGGGAGCTGCTGGGTCAGCCACATTGCTCCAAGTCTGACCCTGAGCCACAGCGCTCACTCCCTCGCGGGAAGGAGCGGCTAGAGTGCTCGAAGGCGCGAAGCGCGCAGCGCTAAACTGGGTCTGAGGCTGGGCGAGTGCCGAGAGGCTGCGCTTGGCTCGGACCTTCGCGAAATCGAAGCGGAGCTTGCGTTCAATGCGAACATCCACTTCACTCAAGCTGGCTCAGAGAGCGTCCATGGAGCTGAGCTTTCGGCTGTGCTCGGCCCAAGACTCGAACTGAGTTTCGAACTCAATTGAGTCTTCCCCCGGGCTAAGTACCACCGGGTACGTCCGCATGGCGGGCACGGACTTCTGCTGGGCTTGCAGCCGCAGCCTCTCGCGATACTCCGCGACAGTCGTAGACTGTGGCGTGAGGAGCCGCTCTCGCAGAGACGCACGCAGTGCGAGCTCCTCCGGAGTACGGGCCGCGGGCCCAATGGTGTGCAGCGCGAGAGACTGCTCGAACGCCTGGCGACAAGCCTCCGCGGGGTCGCGAGGCCGGAAGCCGTAGTCGGCAGTGCTGGGGTTCAGCAGAGGCCGCAGCTCGGGGCGCTGGGAGCGCGTGGGAGCCATCTGCGCCGCAACCTGCTCGGACTGAGCTTGGTCCAAAGGGTTGGAGATGACGGGGCCCAGGGGCACGCCCTCACCACGAAGTGGCGAATACCGTGGCTCAGTGAGCGCGCGCAGCTCGTAGACACCGGAAGAGCGTTCAGGGAACCGGTTCGGAGTTCGCAGCGGTGGCCGCGGCTCCTCCCTCGACGGCGCAGCGCGCTCTTGGTCGCGACGGCTCGAAGAGCCAACTGGGGCCGGCGAGCCTTCTTCACAGCGTGTCGGCGGTGTGGGCGAAGCGTCGCCGCGGCTCGGTGCCGTGTGAGTGGGGACGCATCTCCTCGGTTCGGAGAACCCTCCATGGACTCGTCCACCTCGCCCTCTTCACCAAAGAGTTCCCTAGGATCCATGATCTGACGGGTTGGTGCTCGAGGAGAGCTGGGGCTTGCGCGCTGCGAGCTGCGCTTCAGGCGTTGCGCCGCGAAGTACTCGGACACCGAGACCCTGGAAGGCGTCGAGGGTGTGCGCGCGGGCGCTGGCGTTCGCGGAGGTGCGGAGGCACGCAGTGCAGCAGCACGAGAGGAGCGAGGCTCCGAGGCGGATCTCGCGAGAGGTTGTCTGCGGTCGAAAGACCAAAACGCTTTATGACTTGAAGTCATGTGAGGGCGCGTTGCGCCGAGAAGTTCTCAGAGAAGTCCACGCGATGTGGATTGACTCGTTTGAGCAGGAGGCTTGACGGAACAAGACCCGGAGGTTGACCGTTAAGCGTGAACACCCGTGTCCACGGTTTGGTGGGGGAGGGTGTAACGGGGTTACACGAGAGTTACCCGAAGGGTTACGAAGTGGGTACACACTATCTAACCTGAATCAGTAGGAGAATCAGTACATGGCTTCAGAGCCACTGATTATGCATATGACTAGGGTTCACTATGCTAGATTGTGAACCGGATACATTTACACCGTAGGCGGCTTTGCCGCAATAAAGGGAAATACATTCAGTTTGAGATTCACACAGTTAAGAGTTAAGGGTTGACTCTTGGAGTCCGTAAGGTGTACGGACTCGTACGTTCTGGTATTAGAACGGGCTATCTTAAGCTGAGACTCAGCGAGTCTGTTAAGCTTCCTCTGACGCAAAGCTACGGCAGCTCCGCTGCACCAGAGACTTCTACTGGCCGCATATGTACAAGTGGGTCCGGAAATGGGTACGCTCCTGCGAAGCGTGCCATCGCGTGAAGCCGAATCCGTCCAAGCAGGCTCCGCTTCGACCTCTCCCAGTCGCCACAGACGCATGGGTGTCTGTCAGCATGGACTTCGCCTTCGGGCTGCCCCGAGAACCTCAAGGGGTCACTGACGTGCTTGTCTTCATTGATCGGTTCAGCAAGATGCTCCATCTTGCTCCTGTTGCTGCCAGCATCACGCCGAAGCAAACCGCCGCGATCTTCGTGGACGTGGTGTACCGCCACCACGGGCTTCCGTCCTCCATCGTATCGGATCGCGACCCTCGCTTTACGTCTGCTTTCTGGCGAGAGCTTTTCCAGTTGTTGGGGACGCGGTTGTGTATGTCCACCGCGTCGCATCCGGAGACAGAAGGCCAAACTGAGCGCGTCAACCGTGTTGCTGAAGACGTACTACGCAGCTTCGCTACGTCGTTCAAGTCGTGGGGCACCTTCCTGCCCCTGGTCGAATTCGCCCTCAACAACGCTGCCCACGCATCGACCGGGCTGTCCCCGTTCTTCGTCAACTTCGGTCGCCATCCTCGCGTTCCAGTGCTCCTTGGTGCGGAGCGCTCTGAGACTCCGGCTGGTCGCGAGCTGAAGACGCGGGCGATCCCGCGTCACTCGTTCCGGATGAAGACGTTGCTGTAGACCCCGACCCAGACCAAGCTGAGCGTCGTGGCCCCGTACCCGACGCTGTCTCCGCGTTGTTACATGGCGTCACCACTCGTCGAGGCTCTAACGCTCCAGCAGTCGGAGTGCGCACACGTGCCGCCACGCGGGCGTCACACGAGAGACCACGCGCCAACCCCGAACGAGCTTCGCGCACACGTGCCGCTAGGAGGGCGGCACCTTCGGACATCGCAGCTTGGATTCGCGCACGCTGATTGACCCGATGCCACGTCGGGCCGTCGAGTATCAAGACGCGCAAGAGGCGGCGACACCTGCCGCGCCGGTTCCTGCCAACTTCGATCCACTCCCAGCGCCGCAGCCCCGAGACACTGCGGCTGTCCGCGACTTCCTGCAGAAACGTGAGTCGGTTGTGCGTTATGTACGCGACACCATCGCGGCGGCGGTGGACCGGCAAAAGGAATATGCCGATCGACGAGGGCGACGACATCTGGAGATGTTCGCCGTGGGCGATCGGGTACTGCTCTCTACGACAGGCATGTCACCAAGTTTGGTGACGAACTTGGGCGCGAACAAGCTCGCGCCCCGATTTATTGGACCTTTTAAAGTGACGAAGGTACTCGGCGACGCTTACACGCTGCAGCTCCCTACGGTACTCCGGCTGCACCCTACGTTCTACGTTGGACGATTGCGACGATACCATCCCGCCGCCATTCCCGGTGGCGCCGATGACCATGCCCAAGTCGATCAAGACGCTGCGCCATCCCAGCGTCAGCCCGAGGTTCGCGCATCTGCATTCCAGCGCGACGGTCCTGCTCCACTAGTGGACGCTGCTGGGAACCAGCGTCACATTGTCGAAGCCATTCTCAACCACGACGACCACCGAGATGCACCGCAGCGCGCACGCATGGATCGTGGCACTCGTCGCCGCGATGGAGAGATACCTTCGCACCACCGGTATCTGGTTCGATGGTTTGGCCCGATGGACGACAGCTGGGAGCCACGCGAGGTCCTACTCGCAGATGTCCCCGACTGCGTGGCGGCGTACGAGACGTCGCTTGCAGAGGGCGCGGCGGCGAGCCGTGCCTAACTCAACGAGAGCCTCGCAAGAGCGGACAGCCCAGCGGCGATGCTTGACTTCAGACAACGGACGACCTTCGGTGTTCTAGGATTCGCGGCGACCTGACCCACGGTGGAGTCACGGTACGTACCACCGCGACGGACTCGCTTCGTGCCACGCCAGCGCCGGACCAGCTGCACCAAGATCGCTCCGCTGAAACCCACGCCGCTGCTGCGGTCGCGCAGCAGCCAGCTCTTGATGACGTCCGAGACACTGCTGCGCTGCTTCAATCACTTCGCGTGCGCTGTCGGCCCGCGCCTGCCAAGTAGCGTCACGTCCGCCTCGCGAATCTCTGCAGTTCTTTTCTAGAGTTCAGATATGTGTATGTTCCAATCTTGAGTAGGGGGTGGTGTGACAGGCCACTGTCACACAGGCGCCACCCGCGTGTGCGCGGTGGCCAATCAGAGCCCACTATAGGTTTAATGGCTGGGACGGTCTCTGAGTGCCGAGACCGTCTCGGCACGTAATACCAGTTCAATTTGCCTACTACTTCCTCTTAGGGCTGTTTAGTGCACTGCACGAAAGTCACCAAAAGACCAAAAGTGCACTAAAGTCCCACAGCACTTTCGCGCACACGAACAAAAATGGTTTATTACAAGCATAGCCCAAGTCAAATGTAACACCACGCGTACGCAATTCCTGTGAGGTGGCGCATCACCACGGGCGGCGTGTACGACAACGCGACCTCCACGATACCTCATAGCTGCCTCCGGGGCGTGCGGTGTCAAGGGCGGCACCCTGGTCGGCTACCACTCGCAGTAGTTTCGTCGTCGTCTCAGCATAATTGTCATGGCCGCACCGCGCTGCTGTACTCGTTCAGCCACACGGACTACACCAATATCATGATAGCAGCCTTCATTGAGCAATCTGCGTGCAAGGCGCGTGGGGCGTCGCCCCGAGCCACCTCATGGAGCTCTTCGTCTTCATGGATGTCGTGTGTACACGAACCTGGTGCTGCTCACGTCCGTCGGCCCCGAGGCGCGCTACAAGAAGTTCGACGTCGCGCCCGACAGCGACCTGAAGGGGGCGGCGCACGTGAACAAGAAGAGCCTCGACAAGATCGTGCACAATACCGCCAAGCCCGACTTAATGCCCAAGGAGGCAGCGACGGACGAGTGCATGGACCGAAGCTCAGCCCAACCACGTTACGTTAAACTGAAGGGTATCTTGCATGTAGCTTAAAGTTGTTGTCGATGTTTCATTATAAACGCGTGAATCAGTCCAAAGCTTCACGTGTTGCAGAACGGGTGACGCGAACGAAGCCAAAGACACCAGCAGCACATCTCGCCGCCCGCGAACACGCTTCACACGACAGCCGTCGCTAATTAGTTGGCAACTTCGGAGGGCCCATCGTCGACCTCATCGGCGACTCTTTCTCCGCCCACCATTGCGGCTTCTCCGACTTCAGCATAACCACCACCACACTTAACCACGGCGGTTCCTGCCACCCCAATACCTACGCTGCTGCCAGTCATGACGACTCCTGTAACACTGACAAAGTTGAAGGTACTGCCGTACGAGGCCTCAAGTACTTGTTGTACTTCGGTCGGATCCTCATCAGCATCGCCAGCAGCGTCCTCAATTGAGCAAACGCTCGAATCATCGTCCGAGTCATCTGCATATTCATTGTCCGAGTCATTATCCATGTCGGGGTCCCGAAGCGGATCGCACTCGTTCCCCCACAGGTTCTCTTGGTCTCCAAAAACAGCTTGATGTTCAATAGCCGTGGAGCGGTCATGATGGTTGGAGTAGATGGAGGCCAACATGTGCGCCTTCTCGTTGCCGAGACTGCCTCGGCGCTTAGAGCAAATGTACCCATGAATACTCCATGCACGCTCGGCTGATGCCGAAGAGGTCGTAATCGTGAACACTCGCTCAGCAATCAAAGAGACCAGCGGGTAGTTGATAATTCCAACCCAGGCCCACCACTCCATCGGAGGCATCTTGTAGAACACAGTTTTTTTGGCGGGGGGGGCCACTTAGACTTCTCGCTCATGAAGCTAGAAAGTTGTTGTTGAATCTGATCAAACTCCAGATCTGCGAGAAGAACGAGCTGCTGGACCAGCGAAACGATATCATCTTCCGAAAACACCGTTGCCGACTTGGTATGGTCCAATAGATACGCTAGCTTCATCGAACTCTTGTGAATGAAGCGCCAGCTGGCGCGAATCCTCCTCCGAAATTGCTGCTGAACGGTTTGAGGAATGCCAGGAGTCTTGTGGTTGTAAATCGCAAGGTTCTTCAGTCGAATAAATTGTTCGAAGACAACTGAGAGCGAACACCCATCTTTCTCGAAGTGATCGATGCATTGGATGATCGGGTCCAACAAACGAAGTACGAACCCTCCCTGAATCCAAAAGGTATCCGAGTCAACGATAGCCTTGGTAGCGGCTACCTTCTTCTTATCGTAAGACTTTAGAAGCCCATCGTCTGCCATTATACGCCGTATCGCATCTTCATTGTCCAGTACATTTTGGACACAATCGCGGTGCGAGTACCAACGCGTCGCAATGGATACCGCCAGCCCACGCTGAGAACTGTCAGGGTGCGCCACGTGATCGAGGGTCAAACGTTCATTCGTGTTTGTATGCGATCGGATGAAAACAGCAAGAGCATTGGCTTGGCGAAAAATGTCACTCACAAAAGGCAGCTCCGCAACGTCTTTTACAAGGAGGTTCATCGTGTGAGCACTGCACCCAGTACAGCAAAAAACCGCTACGCCTTGCCTCCAGGATTCTCCATGCGCTCTTCATGTTCTTGGCGTTGTCCGTACTCAGTGATACCACCTCCAGATTTTCACACTGCGTTTCAATGTCATCAATCTCGACAACCACAAAGTTGGCGATGAATTCCCCTGTTTTGACAGCGTCACCCGTGCATTTGGTCGCCCACAGTATTGCGGGCATTCCGGGAATCAGGAGAGTCACATTAATCATACTCTGTCGTCTGGAATTAGACCAGCCATCCATTGATACGGCAGCATATCGTTTAGACGACACCCCTCTAATAACAAACTCCAATACTCGCTTGTACGCTCGGACCAAAAGAAAATCAGCGAGATGGTGTCTGTTTGGAAGAGGAACATCCGGGTACAACCGGCCCAGCACCTTGCGCGTGGATGGTAACTCAATTGAGCTAAACGACCAGTTAGCAAGATAGAACATCATCGCAATCTCGTCCCAAATCTCCAACGTCTCTTCATTGACCGGGGGCTCCACTGTTTCACCAATCACCACTTCATCACTGCAGCCCTGCTGTCCACCACACTCCACGCGTTCTGCAGCACCATTGTCCCTCTGCACTTCATCAACAGCTCGTTCTGCACCGCTATGCACGCGTTGAGCGTTTGCCACTTCCTCCGCTCTCTCTGCATCTGCAATCCAGGTGGCTTGAGCAACGCGGGCCTCATTTTGCTGCTCTCGGATCAGGCGCTGTCGCTTTGATGCCCCGTTAACACGTTCCCATTCTCTGCGCTTCTCAAGAGGCATTGCTGAGCACCCCTTTAGTACGTGATGCATTCGTTTTCGCCCAGGCTGCACTTTATGAAGAACGAGACCACAGTGGTTGCATTGGACATCCTTTAGCTGTCTTCGGTCATGTTCATTCACAACTGCGAACTCGCTCCAGATTGTGTGACGCGGACGTCCCGTTCGTGCCATAATCGCGGTTCTGCCGAGCAACAATTTTCACAACAGTAAGTTCTACAGGTAGCTCGTGGTGGCCAGGTCATAGAAGATGACGTACTGGTCTTGATCGCCGCCGAGCTTTAGTAAGAATGAGCCGCGATAGCGCGCGGTGGATGGCTTCTTGGGACAACAGATTGCGCACTCCTCGCAGTGCGGAATTGTTGCATGTTGCCGCTGGGATCTAAAATGTACTTAAGTGGGATTCTAAAATTACACTGGATGACCATGGTCGGACTTTCGTGCACGCGCCACACCAAATGCACGAAACACCGCTACTTCTTCTGCTGGTGAAAGCACGTAACGAGCTGCAGTTAGCCCGTTACACTACCCCTTCCTGGTTCAAAACCCGCAAGCTTTCGCATTGCTTGAAGTTAGGCAACATTTCTCCACCGCTTGAGTATTCCACCTCCTAGCCGCCGTATCTGAGCATCACTGTCGCTATCGCCTTCGTTTTTCAAGTACAATTGAGCGAAGGTCAGCTAGCTCCATAAGTCTAGCAGGTGCTAATTCCAGGGTCGATGTCCAGATGAAGCGAGCAATCTGTTGTAGCTGATTCGTCGTTGTATAACCATCCAGTAAAGTGTTCACTTCTCGATCGGCAAAGTTCTCGCGCCGCAGCTGGTCTTTCTCATACGTCGTAATTTTCAGAAGGTCGATAACAGCGTTAGCCCGAGGAGAAGGGTTGATATTAATATTCAGTTGTTTCTGCTGTTGCCCCAAGTCAACCATAGCAACCACATAACTGTCGACAGTAGATTGACAAAGTTTTTCGCTTCTACCTCGGTGACCCTTTCGCCGCTTTTAACTCCCAATCACACACTCCACATGAAAAAAGTAAAGGTTTGGTCCTGTTACAGTGTATCGAGTGAGGTCACTCAAAGCTGGCCACTTGTCGTCACACCACCGTTTGAACTGGTCCTGTTTGCATGCATATGCCCTCGAAGTGTTCTGTGGGTGAATGTTAAAAGCATTTTCGTACGTGCGGCGCACAGATTCATCTAACGCTACGCGCATGAGAGATTCTTCGGTCATGCTGCTCCTGTTTTCAGTATTGCTTCTTCAGTGCTCAAAGTTCGCCCCCTCCACTCCGAGTGGAGGGCGCGAAATGGAGTGGACCACTCCATTTCGGCCAATGTGTGTGCTGAGGACGGGGGGCAGATAACTGGCTTATTTGTACATGTGGCTAGGGCAATAACACGTCCACGACGAAGACCGCGCCCGGACCCCGGTTATAATAATAAGAGGCCAGTGTTACTAGCATCCACTTTTTCACTCCACTTATTGTCCACCTTTCGTACTTAGTAGGAACTTGGGTCCAGCTATCGGGATATTTAGTGAAGGTGACCGTGTTTGCCTCAAGATTTTGTGAAAGCAGAGTGATACTTAAAGGTGGCATCCCTTCCTTCAATCCCACACCCGGTCGCTGTCAATTAATATTCCCAGTGTATTGTCCAGCTATCAAAATTTACACTATCTCTCTCATTAAGTACGAGTGAAAAACTGGACGAACGATTTCGAGCTCGAGTTGTGGTTGATCTAGACAGACAAGAGTTCTGAGCCTTCGCTCATCGTAAACATTTTGGGTGAATAAATGGAACGTTCCCTTCCAAGAAACCAGCGTTCAAAATGATTATTTTCGTACTTAGTTGAATATGCGATTAGCCAACCAGATGCCTGAAGCAGTTCCGATAATAAGTACCGGTAATCAGATTGACATAGATGGTGGCACGGATGCCGCTGCACTTTGAGGCCGCGCGCGGGGGCGTGTGGCTCGACGGGAAGCCGTTCTTCCTCAAGGGCGCGAGCTTCTTCGGCATGGAGAGCGACATCTGCGTGCCGCACGGACTGTGGGGTGGCGACGACTCCACGACGCTGGCGGCGGTGGCGCAGCTGCTGCGCTCGAACGGCTTCAACCTCGTGCGGATTCCGCTGGCGGTGGCTGCGGCGGCCAACAACATCACGGTGGACCGCTACAAGATGGGCAACGAGACGGCGCTGCTGAAGGCGTTCGAGGGGAAGGAGCTGCGGTACTTGGACGTGCTGGACTACGTGGTGCACGAGCTAGCGCGCCACGAGCTGCTGGTGCTGCTGGACACCCACGTGATGCAGCCGGCGGGGGCCATTACTCCTCTGTGGTATGACGACGCGCAGGGGTGTCCGGAGTCTGTGGTCACCCAGATGTGGACCACGTTGGCGACGAGATACGCCGACCAGTGGAATGTTCTGGGCGGGGACTTGAACAACGAGCCTCATGGAGAAGCTACGTGGGGCTCGGGCGATGTCAGGACGGACTGGAAACTTGCAGCAATGAGGCTGGCTGAGGCGGTGCTGGCAGTGTGTCCGCGGTGGTTAATTTTCGTGGAGGGAGTGCAGACCACGAGCTGCGATGCAGGGCACGAGTTGCCGTGCTTTTGGGGCGAGAATCTGCAGGCGGCGGCTAAGCACCCTGTGAAGCTGAGTGTAGAGCATCGGCTTGTGTACTGCCCGCACACGTATGGCCCTGCTGTGTCGTGGCAACCGTACTTTAATGCAGCGGACTTCCCGAACAACATGCCGCAGGTGTGGGATACGCACTTTGGGTTTCTGAAGCAGCAGACGGAAGTTCCGTTGGTCATTGGGGAGTGGGGAGGGCGCCACGAGAACCCGAAAGATTGGAGCTGGCAGACCCGGTTTGCCGAGTACGTGCAGCAGATTGGCGTCAGTGGCGTGGTGTTCTGGTGTGTGAACCCGAACGGTGGTGACACTGACGGATTGCTACGTGCAGACTGGCGCACGCTAAATGCGGAGGCTTTTCAGCTGCTGTCACGCTTCACGGGGACACCTTTGCCGTCACAGTCGTGCTGAGCGAACAGCATCGCCTAACAATTTGAGTACAAACCAGCGATTCATGCCACCTTGCTTGCTTGCAGCTCCATATATATTCATCAAATAGTTTTCACGGCGCCTTCAGACAAGCAGTGCAACCACCAGCTACATTCGCCAGTCAGCACACCAGTCTAGCACCACCCATGCTTACTCGTCCTAATACATACCGATGGCCTACGAAAGGCATCAAAATCTCAAAGCAATATCTAAACCACTTGGTGATCAATGTCATGAGCCAGCAGCGACGACTCCGTAGCGGGCCCAGACTGGTAACGCGTCGACCCCCAAACCGTGCGGGTCGACGACGGCGGAGACAGTTTCTGGTACTTCATCCGACGCGCGCTCGTGCGGATGGCAACCAGCAGGAAGAAGAACACACCTCCAAGCAGGCCCAGCACCATGAAGTCGCCAAACGAGGCGGAGGACGCAGTCTCTGCATTGGACACCACATTGTTCGAGGTGGCAGCGATTGTCACTGGCTCGACGTGGGCCTTGCAGTCCGTGATCAGCTTCCCCTCCGTCGCCAGGGATCCGTTGCCCCAAATCTCCGTGAGCAGCGACACGGTCGGTCTCGCCTTGAGCACATTGGGCGATGTCGAGGCGTCGACCTCTGGGTCGTCGGGCGTTGCGCGCGATGCGCTGAAGAGACCAAAGTACTCTTCCGACAGGTATCCCAGCGGGAACTGGCTGTTCTTGACGAGTCCCAGGTTGTGCTCGTCGGGGTTGCCAGCCTTCCACCACTCGTCACTGTACTCGAACACGAATCCACCGACGATAACTTGCTCATCCACGCCGTCTGTGAGCTGGAAGTTGTTCTGCATGGCGAGCGTCTGCTGCGTGAGTTGATCGGCGACGTAGTTGAGCTGCATGTAGCTTCCAACTCCGTGAGAGCTGCTGTAAGGATAGCCGTATTCCGAGACCAGCAATGGTTTGCTGCCCGGCACAGCTTGGAACTTGGGAATCACGGATCCCGGATAGTCCGACTGGTAGACATTGGATCCCCACATGTCGACATCAGCCTTGAACTTCTCGCCAGCAATGAAGCTCGCGCCTCCGTCATCCACAAAGGTCGTGGTGATGATCTTCTGAGCGTTGTTATTCTCCTTGAGACCGCGGCGGACGGCGCTCGTGAGCGCGGAGAACTTGCTCCAGAAGGTCTTGTCCTGGATCACAGTGATGCTGTTCATCTCACCGCCAATGGAGTAGCCCATGACGCCCGGGTGACCGCCCGTCTCCTTGGCCATGAGGTAGTACTCGCGCACCAAGTGCTGGAACTCGGGGCTGCTCTCGAGCAGCGCCGGCTCCATGACGCTCTGGTCGATCCAGATGGAGAAGATGGTGTAGACCGGGTCCACGTTGTCGTTAAAGGCGGCGTCCAGGTAGTCCTTGTGCTGCACGTAGCTGTAGAAGTCGTACGTCTTGACGGCGTTGGCGTTCATGAGCCGCAGGTTCTGCAGGTCGCGCAGGAAGATGGTGGGTTCGCCCAGCATGTCCAGTCGTCCGGGGCGGCCGATGGGTGTGGGCGCGTAGTTGACGCCGCGCACGAAGAAATTGTGCCCGTCCTTGAGCAGCTTCCGGCTGCAGGTGGTCCACTTAGTGTTGAGGTGCTGCTGGACGTGGGTCTCCATGGTGGTGGTGGTCGTTGTTGTGGTGGCGGTCGTGGCCCGCGGTTCGATTTTCAAAGGCCGAGAGATGTGAGCTCGACGCGGCAAATTGCAGAGTGACGGAGAAGGAATCCAAGCGGAAGAGCGTGAGGTCCCTCGGGTGATCGATGGCTTCGGTGGAGGTGAATGAACCCCGCAGCGCACGCACGCACGTACGACGCTGCCGTAAGTGCTGCTTGGTGTCACAACGGTGCTAGGTTCCAAAATCTGGGACGGATGGCACGGGATAAGGTCTTATCGACATAGTGAAAATGCTAGGAAGTGCCGTGACACTCCCTCCCGACAGATGGCTGATTGTCGAGGCTACAATGGATTTGTTGCGATCTTGAAAGGATATCGTGGCTGAAGCAGGGCCTCCATCTGGTTGTCGATGCTGCTCAGACAGCGGAGCGTCCGCTCCAAGCAGAGGCGCTGCTGTAGGGAGTGCTATAACGCTATAGGGCTCGGCGTGCTTTGTTAAGCTCGAGCAGCGAGCGCGTGGAAGCTGAGGGCCTCGGTGAGGCTGACAGCCTTGCCGCGCCGCCTTTGGCGAGCGATGTATCTGTGCGCTGCTCCGTGATGACTGGAAATGCGTGCTGGCAGCGAAAGCACGTTGCGACACGAGGGTAATGGCCACCTCGCTGTGGCTATGAGAAGCATGGCTCGAAAACAGCGACTTCATCCTTTTTGTCTTGGAAAATGTATGGTCCATGTTGAAGTGCGATGACCGTGTCAAATCCGCGCCTGTGCGTAAACAGACCGCCATGCGAACGTTGTTGCCGTGCATGGATGCAGTTTCTGAGCCTGGACGCTTCCCTCGCCGCACGTATCCGAAGCCATTGCTTGGATAGTGTACCTCCACGGCGGCCTCGACGCTGCGTGCGTCGAGGAGAGCGCAGCCACCCGCGGCGATCGGATAACTCAATCGCGATCGCACGCCGTGTGCAATCGATGGGGCAGTGCACGCTGTCTCACAGGGCGTCCATTACCGCGCGGAACACCCTCCAGCACGGGGTTCGCCCGGCAAAATGCGCTGCCCGACCACCGACGCAGCCACCTCTGGCCACTTCATCCGATGAGACTTCCTCGACGCACTCTACTGCCGCTTCTGCTGCTTCTCAGGGTGGAGTAACGCTCTCTAATCGGCCAAGTCGCTGGTGACAAGCTCCAGCGCTGGACCGAATGTCACCAGCGTCGATGCCACCCCAACCGTGCGAGGCATGCACGAACGAACGAGAACCATGCTCTACGATCAATCTATTCTCGTTGAATAAATACTGCTGCTGCTGCTACTAAAGTCGGGATGCACAGTACTCGATGCATTTCAATTTGCTACAGCGTCTACGTTACTTTTGTTCAATTTTCTACTTCTACTTCTACTACTTTGTTTTCAAAATACGGACTTGGAGGGTGCAGGCCGCGCGTGGAGTAGGGCGACGCGCGCAGCCCGGCAATTTGGGGGGAGTGGCGCTCATTAACTTAGATGGTGGGTGGCGTGGCACGCACTCACTCACACGGCGCTGTGCGAGATCTCGTCGATGAAGTGCTCGAGGAAGAAGAGGTCCTCCTCGAACAGGTCCACGGGCGTGTCGGACGGCTCCATGTCGATCACAGGCGTGTCCACCATCATGTAGTCCACGGCCGCGTCCATGCCGATGCCGATGTCCAGCTCGGCGTCCATCCACGAGAACATGGCGGCGTCGTCCATGACGGTGCTGCCGCTGCCGAAGCAGTCGATGCCGCGCGGGCTGCCCGAGTTGGGCACGGGCACGACCACAGCCTTGGGGTGCGTGATGGCCTTGGGGATCGGCACGGCGGCGGGGCGCTCCATCTTGACCACCACGTCACTGCGCTTTCTGGCGTCGGCCGCCACCTTGTGCGAGCGGCGCGCGCCGCCGCTGTTCTTGGCACGCGGCGAGGCCGAGCGGCCCTGCTTGCGGCGCTGCTCCATGCGGCGCTGGTTCGTGTTGGCCTTCTGGCGGTGGTACTCGCAGAACTTGTGCAGCTCGCCGTTGCGCTTCTCCACGCGCCAGCTCCAGCACTTCTTGCTCGGGTAGCCGCACAGCAGCGGCGAGCGCTTCTGCTGCGGGTCCAGCATGGCGGGCGCCGGCTGCATGGCCAGGTGCGACACGTGCGGCGGCATGGGCTGCAGCATGCCTGCGGGCGGGTGGGGCACTGCCGAGTGCCGCGCGAACGAGGACAGCAGCTCGCCGCTCGAGTACGTCGTGGTGGAGACCATGGCGGGCGGGGGTGGGGTTTCGGTTCGGACGCAAAATCGCAAATGGCTCCAGGCGACGGCAACTTGGCACACACATAGTAACAGGCGCCCCCGAGGCCAGTGAACTGCCATAGGCGGGAGAAGTGAATTTTGACGCAGCTGCACGCGTTTGGTGCCGGAGCCGCGCGTTCGCGCACCGGTGCAAGCCGCGAAGGTTCCCGTATCATCACCACCGCCCGTCATAGACGAGGACCGTGGGACTGGACACTTAGCTGCGCAGATCGTCATCCGATAAGTAGCCCCCATTGCTGGCGTGCTGATGCTGGTGGTGGTGACCACTGAGCAAGAGGCTGCTAGAGGAGCGAGTGAGGGCGTCGAGGCCATCTCCAGGCTACAAGTTATCGCTTAGCCCGTCCAAAATACGGACTATTCAATTCTGGCTGGCTGCGTGAACCTCATAGAGCAAGATTGAAAATACAATGTGCTAGACCCTTCACAACTATGGCATACCGGTTAGATACATTTTAGTATCACTGCTATTGGAGACCAGTGATACACAGCTCGAAACGGAGGCTTCACCGGGGTGCGTTAGTGCTTTCGTCAACGGGGGTTGCTCATGAGTCATGAGCCATGAGTCAGCAGGCCCCAGTGGAGAGCACCTGAGAACATCCTGCACGAGGTAATGCTGGCAAACCCGAGAACCCGAAAGCTATCTAGGAACCAGCTGAGTTGCTGTATGTGCTCCCAGCTTTCTTGCCGGCGCTGGTCTAACGGAGCCGCCAGCCCGCTGCCGCTGGCGCGAGCTTTGCTAGCTGCAGCTGGCGATGGCGTGCTGCCTGTTGCCACTGCCTGGCGCGAGCTTGCCTCGCGTAAGTATACAGCACCGGCGCGGTGCAGCGAGACTGTCTCCGAGACACGCCGCGGCTCCAGTGGCCCGTCTGCGGTCACCCGCTCTATGTCCGAAAGGGAACCTTGAAGCGTGGCACGCACCTGGGCCAATCAGAGGCGCCCCAAATGCTACAGTACCCAAATAATGGATGTGTGCTGCTGGAAGAATGCCATGCATGTAGGTCACCACAGTACAGCGCTAGCCGACAGAAGGCAGCTAGGCCGAGCTCAGTCAAACGAAAACAAACCACCCGGTAGAGGAGTCTTTGTTCGCATGCTCGACGGCTCACACAGCGGCCCCTTGCGGTGCAATCTTCGAGTGGGCCCGGACGCTTTCCGATTGTGGGCTGCAGCGCGAATGCTTGGTTGGCATTATTACAGATAACAGTCTCGACTGACACCAGAGGGCGATGCGAGTGGTGATCTTGCAATGAGAGGAAGCACGCCCGGAAGGCATAGCCTGTGTGTCGATGTAGGTGCACGCTCTGACTGAAGCGGCGACGCCGGCGTGTGCTTTGCTGTAGGTGTGGCAATGGCCGTACATGTACATGTGTGCTGAGCTTGCTAGCTTGCTCTATCTGCGATTTGGTAGCCCAACTCGACCATTTTGGGGTATATCGGTGCAATAGTTTTTAGCGCTGCGGATTAGAAACTGCCAGAAGACTACCATCCCGTGCTCGCTCCCGCCCTGGGGGGGGGGGGGCGGTGGCCATGGACGGCATTTTCGGTCTCTGTTGCTGCTGCTGACCTCGAGCGCTTCCGCCGACGCGGGCACTCGCGCCGCGCTGAACCATGCTGGCCAAGACCTCGATGGGCTTGCGGCGGCCGCTGGCTGACTGTCCCATGCGTCGGTCGCTGACAGCATCCAATTTGGATTCCAGAGTGTCGACATCGCCGGCGCGTTAATCCAGCGCGGAAACAGCTGATCCGTGAAGCCGAGCCGCGCGTTCTCCCGGAGACGGGCGCGGAGAGCTTATTCCTGGCGCGCCGCTGGCCGCGTGGCGAACGTGTGTCGAGGCCGCCGGCGTGCGAACGCGGGCCAGTCCTCAGCACTGCTGGCAGCAGACCACCTCGGTCTCCGCCATGGCATGGCCCTGCATTGCGGACTCCGAGCTGCGCGGAGCGCGCGGGCACTGCGCGGCGAACGTGCAGAGGTCCGGGTCGAAAGTATGACCAGGAGGAGGAGGGGGACGAATCGGAAAGATACGCGATCTTGGGGCGGCACCAACTCTACACTTGGTGCTTGTGTGGCGGCCGTTACAGAGCCGCTGAAACGGCCAGCCTGGGGCCACAGGCGCGCGCGCGGAGCCGGGCCACATGGGTTAGCTCGGCCGGCAATTTTTGCGGCGCCGTCGGCAAATCGCGCTCCGCTCCGAGGCCGGGCGCCTCGCCTCGCCCGGCCTCTGCCGCGCAGTCTGCCTGCCCGGAGGTTTCGTCCCCCCTCGCGGCTGCGCGCGCTTCCTCAAGACCTCGAGACCTCAAGACCCCCTCTGGTTAACACGGGCGCCGCGCTTGCCGTGTCTCGGGCCGCAGTGCCCGCAACTGATCCCGGCGCAGTTGCCGTGACGATTTGCCGCAGTAGCAGCAAGTTGCTGCCAGGCTGGCAGTGCCAGCAGAGCTCGCGGCGGAGCATCCTTCCACACGCGAAATGAGCAGTGCGTCGATGATTGCCCGGTGCTGGGGCTGTTAGATACAGTAGGCGGTGCGCTGTGCCCCGGTGCCCATGCTGGGCTCCAGCACTGACATGCTAAGTAGCGCCTCTCGGCTAGATAGCGCCCCTCGCTGACACGCGCATGTCAACTTGTTCCATCGTTTCAGAAACTTCTGCCGGAAGGGTAGCCATGTCTGTCGAAATGTCTCGACGATCCAACAGCAGCGCTGGGGCAGCAGCCGGCATCGCGCAACTCGGCATCTCAAGCAAGGCAGGACGCCGCGGCCCGACACGCGGCAACCAAGCCGTGCGGCGCCCCGGGGCGCTTGCATCCGATGCAGTGCAGTCGACACGCAGCCTGCAATCGCGGCGTCTGTGACCGCCAGTGGCCCCAAGTTGAAGTGCTTGTGCAAATCGGCTGGCAGACTCTGAACGCACCAGTCCGGCCACACCGCTCACTTTTCCACCACATCATTCAGTCGGACTCGAGCGCTGCATCATGACACCCACTGCAGCGCCATCGCTGCAGGTTGAGCGGCGGCTGGCACTGTCCCCGAGTCTCGGGCCGAGAGTGTTTGAGCTTGTCCGTCTGGAAGTTGCCGTTCGTCACACCGAGACCCCCAAAACACGGCGGCGACGACACTACAGCGGCAGCGCGAGGTGTTCGGGTCGTGCCCACCGCTCAGCCACCAAGCCTGGTAGGTAGGGTAGCTTACCTGCCTCAAGGCTTCGTTGGGGTACAGCCCATGTAGCGTTATCTCGGTCGACACGGTGTCACGGCTAGAAACCGTAGCGGTCATTGCTGACAGCAATGCTGTTGCGGGGGCCCGACTCGCATTGCAGCGTTTGGGGGGGGGGGGGGGCGCACCTTTTCTTAACTGTTTCGATGCTAGAGGAATGTAGTATTGATCGTCGTGTGCTCTAACATGTCTAACATATTGCTGCCGACGGCAATCGGTTGAACGAGTTATTCAGTGTACTGTGAGTCACAGTGTGATGGCGTGTGGCGCGCAACTTCGCTGGTAAATTATCACTTATTGCCATCCACAGCACACACAGGGCACTTGTGGGCATACCGTAATTTAGATCTCATACTACATATAGCTGATTATTGAAGTTGTCGTGTTGCAAAGTGGACACGAGATGTACATGTACCGACGATTTTATGTTCGTATTCTGAAGTGCATCATGCAAAGTGGTATTTACCGGTACCCTTAAACACTGCTGTCTAGATCTATCTACTCCACGGCAGCTAGCGCACCCGGTTTCGACCTTGTCGATAATTAGATCGCGCTGGTTCAGCCAGTTGTAGACCTGTCGCTTTTTGGCTTTTAATTGGGCTGCCGTGAGCGAAGGGTAGAAGTAGTTGACTGTGTCGCGCATTTTCTCCTTAGTAACGACTGCGTCGTAGAACTCGATCACGCTGAGCTTGTGTTGAAAGGAGACAGCAACACGCTTAAACCGCTTCGGCAGCTTTCCTGTTCCTGTTGTGCGTGTCCGCCCTCCCTGCTGACCTGAAGAGCGGGACATCACTTTCCGCGGACTTGGCGTGCGCTCCATGGTTGTTCTCTTGCAATGACTGGCCCTCTTTTGCTGCATTTGCTCAATTTATACCCTACGTATTATGAGAACTCAACTGATGAGCTGGGTAAATGGCGCGATATCATTGGCTAATGCCTAGTATGAAGTAAGAGATCTGTCTGTAGTATGAGATCTAAATTACGGTAATGATCGAGGCATTGCTGGCATTGCCAGACGTCCATGGCGAAGCTTGGATCGTCCGATTAGGCTCGCCTCGTTTGACAACAAATATTCAAGAAGAAGCAAAAATTGGATGGGATATCTCGGTGTATGCGAGACTCGCAATTGTACAGCTCCATTGCCCGCGGGACCTGCTCAGGTGACTCATGCTGCTTGATTCACGCTGGGCAAACCGTGCAAGCTTGAGGTGGATACCGGGGCTGCAGTAACTCCTAGATACGCATCGATCGTAGCGGAGCTCAAGCTCTCTGTCGTCATTACAATATTTACTCCGTCCGAGGCAATGGACTTCAACAACTTGTACCTGTTCGTCGGCCCGCCCATGACTCGTGGCCCCCCACCGGTGCCTCTGGCATCGATTCCTCTCCTGCCGCTGGCAGCGGTTGCTCCGACACCCCCAGCATCATCGCTTCCTCCCACGTTACCTCGTCCGCCTTCATCCCGGATCAAGAACCAGCAGAAACAACGACAGCAGCTCAAGCCGTATCACCGCCTCAAGTCAGAACAGCGGTCGATGGCGAGGCCCTCTGTGCCAATGCAAAGCCAATCACAGTCCCAGATCCAAGCTCAAGCTCTACCCCAAATCAACAACGTCAGTGGTGAAGGCCAAGAGTATGACTACGGAATCACCCAAGCGAAGACGCAGGTGAACATCGACGGCGCCATCGACCTTAGCAAGAACATTGAGCCAACGTCAATCGGTTTGCGCATGAAAATGTCCGAGCTGGACCACGCGTACTTGTTGCCAATGAACGCGCGCTATTCTGGAGACCCAACGTGGACGACGGTGTTGGACATGTGCCCACAATTTCTCGTACTCGACCCAGTCACGAATGACTACTACGGTACTAGTACTAACAGCGAGCTGGGCTGGGGTTAGCTTGTAAAAGCTGTTGACCAGAAGGGCACTGCCAAGCAAAGCTAGCCTACACGTATGTATTGCATGTATAATAGAGTTGTATTCGACCTCTCGTCAGTTTTCTCTCAGCAGCGAAACCTAGTCCATTTCACCGTGTTAAGTTGGAACCACCCGGAAAAAATAATTATTCCATTGCAATTACTGTATTTGTGTACGGAAATATGTATTATTGGTTGCCGGTCGTATTGAAATTACTATTATTGAAGCCCAATTTTCAGTAAAATGTTTAACTATGCAGGAGAGGAATCGATGCCAGAGGCACCGGTGGGGGGCCACGAGTCATGGGCGGGCCGACGAACAGGTACAAGTTGTTGAAGTCCATTGCCTCGGACGGAGTAAATATTGTAATGACGACAGAGAGCTTGAGCTCCGCTACGATCGATGCGTATCTAGGAGTTACTGCAGCCCCGGTATCCACCTCAAGCTTGCACGGTTTGCCCAGCGTGAATCAAGCAGCATGAGTCACCTGAGCAGGTCCCGCGGGCAATGGAGCTGTACAATTGCGAGTCTCGCATACACCGAGATATCCCATCCAATTTTTGCTTCTTCTTGAATATTTGTTGTCAAACGAGGCGAGCCTAATCGGACGATCCAAGCTTCGCCATGGACGTCTGGCAATGCCAGCAATGCCTCGATCATTACCGTAATTTAGATCTCATACTACAGACAGATCTCTTACTTCATACTAGGCATTAGCCAATGATATCGCGCCATTTACCCAGCTCATCAGTTGAGTTCTCATAATACGTAGGGTATAAATTGAGCAAATGCAGCAAAAGAGGGCCAGTCATTGCAAGAGAACAACCATGGAGCGCACGCCAAGTCCGCGGAAAGTGATGTCCCGCTCTTCAGGTCAGCAGGGAGGGCGGACACGCACAACAGGAACAGGAAAGCTGCCGAAGCGGTTTAAGCGTGTTGCTGTCTCCTTTCAACACAAGCTCAGCGTGATCGAGTTCTACGACGCAGTCGTTACTAAGGAGAAAATGCGCGACACAGTCAACTACTTCTACCCTTCGCTCACGGCAGCCCAATTAAAAGCCAAAAAGCGACAGGTCTACAACTGGCTGAACCAGCGCGATCTAATTATCGACAAGGTCGAAACCGGGTGCGCTAGCTGCCGTGGAGTAGATAGATCTAGACAGCAGTGTTTAAGGGTACCGGTAAATACCACTTTGCATGATGCACTTCAGAATACGAACATAAAATCGTCGGTACATGTACATCTCGTGTCCACTTTGCAACACGACAACTTCAATAATCAGCTATATGTAGTATGAGATCTAAATTACGGTATGCCCACAAGTGCCCTGTGTGTGCTGTGGATGGCAATAAGTGATAATTTACCAGCGAAGTTGCGCGCCACACGCCATCACACTGTGACTCACAGTACACTGAATAACTCGTTCAACCGATTGCCGTCGGCAGCAATATGTTAGACATGTTAGAGCACACGACGATCAATACTACATTCCTCTAGCATCGAAACAGTTAAGAAAAGGTGCGCCCCCCCCCCCCCCAACGCTGCAATGCGAGTCGGGCCCCCGCAACAGCATTGCTGTCAGCAATGACCGCTACGGTTTCTAGCCGTGACACCGTGTCGACCGAGATAACGCTACATGGGCTGTACCCCAACGAAGCCTTGAGGCAGGTAAGCTACCCTACCTACCAGGCTTGGTGGCTGAGCGGTGGGCACGACCCGAACACCTCGCGCTGCCGCTGTAGTGTCGTCGCCGCCGTGTTTTGGGGGTCTCGGTGTGACGAACGGCAACTTCCAGACGGACAAGCTCAAACACTCTCGGCCCGAGACTCGGGGACAGTGCCAGCCGCCGCTCAACCTGCAGCGATGGCGCTGCAGTGGGTGTCATGATGCAGCGCTCGAGTCCGACTGAATGATGTGGTGGAAAAGTGAGCGGTGTGGCCGGACTGGTGCGTTCAGAGTCTGCCAGCCGATTTGCACAAGCACTTCAACTTGGGGCCACTGGCGGTCACAGACGCCGCGATTGCAGGCTGCGTGTCGACTGCACTGCATCGGATGCAAGCGCCCCGGGGCGCCGCACGGCTTGGTTGCCGCGTGTCGGGCCGCGGCGTCCTGCCTTGCTTGAGATGCCGAGTTGCGCGATGCCGGCTGCTGCCCCAGCGCTGCTGTTGGATCGTCGAGACATTTCGACAGACATGGCTACCCTTCCGGCAGAAGTTTCTGAAACGATGGAACAAGTTGACATGCGCGTGTCAGCGAGGGGCGCTATCTAGCCGAGAGGCGCTACTTAGCATGTCAGTGCTGGAGCCCAGCATGGGCACCGGGGCACAGCGCACCGCCTACTGTATCTAACAGCCCCAGCACCGGGCAATCATCGACGCACTGCTCATTTCGCGTGTGGAAGGATGCTCCGCCGCGAGCTCTGCTGGCACTGCCAGCCTGGCAGCAACTTGCTGCTACTGCGGCAAATCGTCACGGCAACTGCGCCGGGATCAGTTGCGGGCACTGCGGCCCGAGACACGGCAAGCGCGGCGCCCGTGTTAACCAGAGGGGGTCTTGAGGTCTCGAGGTCTTGAGGAAGCGCGCGCAGCCGCGAGGGGGGACGAAACCTCCGGGCAGGCAGACTGCGCGGCAGAGGCCGGGCGAGGCGAGGCGCCCGGCCTCGGAGCGGAGCGCGATTTGCCGACGGCGCCGCAAAAATTGCCGGCCGAGCTAACCCATGTGGCCCGGCTCCGCGCGCGCGCCTGTGGCCCCAGGCTGGCCGTTTCAGCGGCTCTGTAACGGCCGCCACACAAGCACCAAGTGTAGAGTTGGTGCCGCCCCAAGATCGCGTATCTTTCCGATTCGTCCCCCTCCTCCTCCTGGTCATACTTTCGACCCGGACCTCTGCACGTTCGCCGCGCAGTGCCCGCGCGCTCCGCGCAGCTCGGAGTCCGCAATGCAGGGCCATGCCATGGCGGAGACCGAGGTGGTCTGCTGCCAGCAGTGCTGAGGACTGGCCCGCGTTCGCACGCCGGCGGCCTCGACACACGTTCGCCACGCGGCCAGCGGCGCGCCAGGAATAAGCTCTCCGCGCCCGTCTCCGGGAGAACGCGCGGCTCGGCTTCACGGATCAGCTGTTTCCGCGCTGGATTAACGCGCCGGCGATGTCGACACTCTGGAATCCAAATTGGATGCTGTCAGCGACCGACGCATGGGACAGTCAGCCAGCGGCCGCCGCAAGCCCATCGAGGTCTTGGCCAGCATGGTTCAGCGCGGCGCGAGTGCCCGCGTCGGCGGAAGCGCTCGAGGTCAGCAGCAGCAACAGAGACCGAAAATGCCGTCCATGGCCACCGCCCCCCCCCCCCCCCCCAGGGCGGGAGCGAGCACGGGATGGTAGTCTTCTGGCAGTTTCTAATCCGCAGCGCTAAAAACTATTGCACCGATATACCCCAAAATGGTCGAGTTGGGCTACCAAATCGCAGATAGAGCAAGCTAGCAAGCTCAGCACACATGTACATGTACGGCCATTGCCACACCTACAGCAAAGCACACGCCGGCGTCGCCGCTTCAGTCAGAGCGTGCACCTACATCGACACACAGGCTATGCCTTCCGGGCGTGCTTCCTCTCATTGCAAGATCACCACTCGCATCGCCCTCTGGTGTCAGTCGAGACTGTTATCTGTAATAATGCCAACCAAGCATTCGCGCTGCAGCCCACAATCGGAAAGCGTCCGGGCCCACTCGAAGATTGCACCGCAAGGGGCCGCTGTGTGAGCCGTCGAGCATGCGAACAAAGACTCCTCTACCGGGTGGTTTGTTTTCGTTTGACTGAGCTCGGCCTAGCTGCCTTCTGTCGGCTAGCGCTGTACTGTGGTGACCTACATGCATGGCATTCTTCCAGCAGCACACATCCATTATTTGGGTACTGTAGCATTTGGGGCGCCTCTGATTGGCCCAGGTGCGTGCCACGCTTCAAGGTTCCCTTTCGGACATAGAGCGGGTGACCGCAGACGGGCCACTGGAGCCGCGGCGTGTCTCGGAGACAGTCTCGCTGCACCGCGCCGGTGCTGTATACTTACGCGAGGCAAGCTCGCGCCAGGCAGTGGCAACAGGCAGCACGCCATCGCCAGCTGCAGCTAGCAAAGCTCGCGCCAGCGGCAGCGGGCTGGCGGCTCCGTTAGACCAGCGCCGGCAAGAAAGCTGGGAGCACATACAGCAACTCAGCTGGTTCCTAGGTAGCTTTCGGGTTCTCGGGTTTGCCAGCATTACCTCGTGCAGGATGTTCTCAGGTGCTCTCCACTGGGGCCTGCTGACTCATGGACAACATATCGTGGAAATCAAGACAAGGTGTCATCCTGAGCAAGGCGCCATTTCGAGTTATTAAGCGTGGTCACCGATGGCGCTCTATCGGACTGTATTTAATGCTCAATCTCTACTGTGCCTGCGAGATTCCGCAGCAGGCAAACTAATTGCCACGCTTTTGGAGTCCAACGATGGGTCGTAGCCTGCCTCAATGTCCTGGCCGCATCATCTGCAGTTGGATCACCGCAGACAGCAACCCGCAGATATGTTCCAGTCTTCGCCACCTCACAAGCAACCGGCAGGGAAAACGCTGATCATCACATCGGTGCGAGACTGCCAGAACGAAGGTAATCCGTCACGCTTCGCGCAGCGGCGGCACGATAATAGATCGTGTGTCTTGGCCTTGAGTCGGTAAAGGTAGGCCGCATAGATCACCAGCGACAGCCAAGCACGAGATTGAACGTCTTTTGGTACTTGTCACCGCTTTGGGAACATTCCGACACTTGTAGGGGAAACTTCTTGGTCGGCGGCAACAGTGCCGGCACTTGTGTGTGTGTGTGTATCCATCGATCGCCGACCTGAGTCACACCATCGGCCGTGCAAAGCTCGACTTGACGCGATTCCGACCGAGCAGGCTAGAGATGACACAAACTCACAAATGTATTCTGGCCACCACGGTGCCGCACTTCAACCGTGCGTGCTGTACTTCTCGTGGCCAACTTGCTTTCGTTCGTCGCGCGCTGCTTCCGTTCGTCTGCGCTGCAACACCAGCTCGCATGAGTGGAATAATACGTCACCTGATGACGAGCTGGATTTTGAGTGTCCCGCGCTGCGCTGCATGAGCCAATGCTGCCTCGGCTCGCTCCAGCGGGTACACGCCATGAATATACTTCTGCACGTCGATCTTGCGGTCTCGCAGCAGTCGCAGTGCCCATGGAATGGGCCCGCACCGAGAGCCCACCACTCGTAGTCGCTTGCTCTGCACTGCCTGAACATCCACCGACGACCTCTTCGCCGAACACGTCGACTTCATAACCACGGAGCCTCTCTCGCGCGCCAGCTTGAGCGCCAACGCGATGCCGCCGGGAGTTCCTGTGCTCTCGACGCACACATCGAACGGCGCTGTCTCGCTGACGATCCGGTCCGCGAGCGCTGCCATCTCGGCGTCATCTCCGCTGTCGAGCGCGTACACAGTGTTCACAAAATGCTTGGCCAGCGCCAACTTCTCGCGGTGCTTTCCCACGAGTGTGACGGTCTTGGCCGCGCCCGTGGCGTGCAGCACTTCTGCTACCATGAGGCCGAGCTTGCCATCTCCAAGCACCACGACGTGATCCGACGGCTCGATGACCTGCTGTTCGAGGATGCGGCATGCGGCCGCGAGCGGCTCAGCGAAGACCGCGTGGGAGTCCACAACTCCGTCCGGGACCTCGTACAGGTTCGCCAGCGGTAGCGTAATGTACTCGGCAAAGGCGCCATCTTTCCGCACGATGCCGAGGCAGGACCGGTTCGGGCAGTGATTGCGACGCATGACCTCCTCCCGAGATAACGAGTCGCCGCTGTGGTTGCGCTTCAAGCTGCAGCGCGCGCAGGTGGCGCAGGTGGACGCGTCACAGGGAATGTTAATCTCGCCCACGACGCGCTTCCCGATCCATATCCGCTGTGTCTGCTCGTCGTTCGCGTACTGCGCTCCGAGCTTGCGCACAATGCCCACGAACTCGTGTCCCAGCGCTCCTTTGAAGCCGGGCTTGTAATTGTCGATCATCTGGAGGTCGGTCCCGCAAATACCTGCTCGTACGACCTCGATCAGGGCCTCATTCGGCTCTGGCGTGGGCACCGCGAGATCGCTCACCAGCTGCGGAGCCAGCCCGTCGCCTTGCAGACACAGACCCTTCATAAAGCGCGGGGTGGCTGCGGCTGTACCAGACCCAAGGGCACCCAAATCAACGGAACGACTGGTTGTCGATTTATCACCTTTCTCAAGATTTGACCCCAACATACTGAGCTTGTGGAGCTGCTGCGGCTGCACGACCACCTGCGGCATTTTGAACCTTGGGTTCACGAGCGCCAGGAACTCGCGGAAGAGCTGGCTCTGCAGCGCCTGCATCGGGATCACGTCGGAGCGCAGCCAGCCCACGAACGCGTCATTGTGCTTCGACTCGGACGATACCGCCACATTGCTGCTGCTACCGCTACCGGTATTATCCGTCTCCACCGACAACTTGCAGCGCTTCATGGCCCCACCAGACGGTCCATGAGGGACGTACGATTCCTTGAGCTGTACCACCGGCTGGTCGTTTGTCGTCGTCGCCGTCCTCCAGCTCGCGAGCTCCGGGTCGTTCTTCAAGGCCTGGTTCTTGATCGCCGGCGGCGACTCCGTCTTCCTGTTGCCCATGACGGGGCTGTCCACGCGAAAGACCTGCGGGTGGTGGCGGAACAGGTGTCTCTTGAGACTGTACACCCTGTTGCCCATGGTCACTTGGCACAGTGTGCACACCACGTGCGCCTTCTCCGACGTTGTCGTCGTTGCTGCACCTGTAGTACCTGTAGTTGCACCTGCATTTGCATTGGCATTGGCTCCTCCTCCGCCGCCGCCGGGATTCGTGGCCGCCACAACGAGCGGCGCGACGAAAAAATCTCGCGGACTGGCGAAAGCTTGCGTGGCCAGGAACGCTGCCGGAATGTTCGAGGAGGACGGCGGCGCCGCGACAACCTTTGGCGGCTCCTGCATCTCCACGTCGACCTCGATCTTCTCGGGTTTGATGGTCACGTCGGCCAGCGCCGAGGTGGCGGCCCAGAAGCTGTCGTCGCTGGTCGTGGGTGTCGGCGGCGAGCTGATGAGGTTGGCGATGCTCATCTGCTTGCTGGGCGCGCGCACGGCCCAGGCCGCGTCCTCCATGCTCTCTTCGTCCTCCACGTCCTCGTTGAGGATGCTGCGCCGCTTGCGCGCGGCCTGCAGCTCGAGGTGCTGGTCGACGTGGCCGTGCACTGCTGCGCCGAAGGTGGAGCCGACGACCCCAACTGTCGCGAGCTTGCGCTTCTTGTCCATGGCGAAGTGCAGCGAGGGCGACGCGAGGCTGCCGTCGCTGCCGGAGCTGCCGCTGGAGCTGCCGCTGCCCAGAGGCGAAGCCATCGCCATGGTGGGGAAGTGGCTGCGTCCTCTTGGGGATCTTGCACTCTGCTGCAGTCTATTCGACTGCAAAACGGCAACCCCTGATATGGCTACACTCAGGCGAGTCAGGGGTACCAAATCCGCGGTACATTCATTTAACCTTTGATATGGCATATTAATCTTGGATACTACGCAAATGAATACTCAAATTTCGACTTCCTTTGGTGACCAGCTAAAGTAGCAGCAACATGGCCGACGGAGCTGCTGCTGCCACCGAGCCGCCGCGCCACTTCCTCATCCTCAACAATGTGCAGAAGAACAAGAACATCAAGAACATGCTGGTGAGCGCCTCGGCCTTCGGGGTCGAGGAGGTTTTCGTCGTGGGGCAGAAGAAGTTCGACCTGCAGGAGCAGGAGCCGTTCCTGCGCTCGCTCAGCTGCCGAGTCACGCGTCTGGCCACGCTCAAGGACTGCAGGGCGCACTGCACCGAGAGGGGCATCCGCATCGTGGGCGTGGAGATCATGCACGACGCCAAGAGCATCGCCGACCAGCCGTTCTCTGGCGACACGGCCTTCATCATGGGCAACGAGGTGCGCTGTAGTCGCTCTATTGATTAACTGGCTGGAGAGACTGACGTTAAATTGTGTCTGGTGTTGCAGGGCAGCGGCATGAGCTCGGCGCAGGTGGCCATCTGCGACGACTTTGTGTACATTCCGCAGTACGGAGGCGGCACCGCGTCGCTCAATGTGACGGTGGCGGCGTCCATCATCCTGCAGAGCTTCGCGCTGTGGGCCAAGCTGCCGGTTGCTGGGGCTCCGGTGCAAGGTGCAGCTACGGAGTGAAGTTGCACTTCGCTGTGCTTTGATTTTAAGAGATTCGTATGATCACATTCATTTATTGTTGGGGTTTACACTGGACTACACTGGATAATTGACTGACTTGTGCTGCTTGCTTGCTGGCTGGCTGGCGAGCTACAACGCTGTGCTCACTGTTTGAAGCTTAGTAATTGTAGCCATAGCCATAGCCGTGCTTCTTGTGGCCGTGATGGTCGTCCTTGCAGTCGTCAAATCCATAGTTATAGCCGTAGCCATAGGGCCAGCCGTAGAAGTCCCCATAGCCGTAGCCGTAGCTGTAGGGCTGGTCGACTCCATACGCGTAGGCATAGTTGTAGGTGCTGGGGTCGTAGCCATAGTAGCCTCCAGCATAGCCGTAGCCGTAATCGTTGTCGTACTTGCCGTAGCCGTACGCGTTGTAGTGGTTGCCGTAGCTCGGGTACCACCCGCCGTAGCCTTTGCCATAGTAATCGTCATGGCTGTCATCGTCACAGTCCTCATTCTTCTTGCCGTAGTGCTCTTGGTGCTCGTTGCTTTCGTGCGCGTCAGTAGATCCAGAGCTGCTTTCGACGGTCGTCGACTCGGTCGGAACTGGCGGCGGCTTTGGGTCGTCGGCCTTTACGAGAGCTTGGTTCATGACCCCAACCATGCATACAGTGATAGCGAGCTTCGACATCTTCATGGTTGAGGTTGGTGGGGGTAGACTTGGTTATGAAGGTTGCGCTGCGAACGGCTTGCTGAAGAATTGCAGAATGGGCAACCACAGAAGAGCTTTTGCGATAGTTGATGGATCTAAAGCTACGTGAATGAAAGGCCCGCTTTGGTTTCACTCATCAATGAGGCAAAATGAACTTCGCAAAATTGATCGGTATTTAATGATTGACTGATGGGAACATTTTCAATCCTCGAAGTCCATCCGTACACTGAATTAAATGCGAATTCATTGCTGGTACAGAATTTTTGAGCATTCGTACATTTTGCGCTCGTCGCCAGGGCATTCAGATCGTAGGTCGGGTCACTGCTGAGTAGGTACAAATGCAAGCCGCTATGATATGGCATCGTAAACGCAAATACAAGCTCAATTCATTTCTGCTTACTACCAGTAAAATACCTAGTACTTCAACTCATTAGTCGAGACGACTACGCTTCTTCGTGTCACCGTCATCCCCGTTCGAGTTTTCGTCACGATCCACCAGGCGACGCAGTTCCTTCCGGTAGAGCACCAAGTGGCTCTGTTGCTTCAAGGACCAGTCGCGAGTTTTCGTGATCCTCACGAATGCGTCCCCGTTCGTCTCATCAGCTTCCATCTCAAACGAACACATCGTCTGCTCCTCTTTCATCCATCTGGCCGCGAACTGCTTCGCCTCTTCGAGATCGTTAAACTTTTTCTCCGCGCCTTTAATCACCATGGAGCCCTCCGCACTTCGCAGAAACGACTGAATCTCATTGTTGTCAGGAAATTCCGCTTCACGCATTTCCCACGAAAATGGCTTCTCCAAAACTTCAATTTGGTCGCGGAGCCACTGGACCCGCTTTGGAGCGACAAACGCCACTAGCGTAACTTTCTCATCGTTTCCATCGGCACTGTTCACATACTGGGAAAGGTACTGGATGGAAGGTCCAAGCAGGCTGGGGTCTGCATTCTTCAGTCTATTCGCCACAGTGTCAAACAGCGTCTTGTCGCCACAATCGATAGCCACCTTCCACAGCAACCCAATGGAACTCGATTCGAGCAGGTCTTCATCGTTCGTCGCCGTTATTTGTTGCATGGCCTTATCAATCAGTGCCTGCCTAACCGTACCAGCATCGAGACCGTCGGTCAGACGAAGTATCAACTCCAGTGTCGAAAACCCTCCCAAGTATCCATGGTCGCTTTTACCCAATGCCTTCAAAACAGCTTCGCCGATTTGACCCCAGTCATACACGCGCAGGATCTTCGTAATTGAAGGAACCAACGCTCCATTCCCTTCCAGATCACCAAGTGCTCCGCAGTGGTCGTTGAAGAATAAATTCACCACGGACGGGTCACCAGCGTCTACGAGAAGGTCGCACACCACCTCACGAAACATCATAGATAACTCTTCCTTTTCTTCACCGTATTCCTTGATTTGGTTTTCGGCTTTCAACTTGGCAGTGGCACCGTCGAGGAGCGTGCGAAGTGCTGCGCCATCCACCGGTTTCTGTTCGCGCAGAGCCTCCGCAGCGGCATCAATTGTCATAAACTTCAGCGCCTTCTTGGCGTGATCCACCACTCGCCAAGCAACGATCGCGTACCTCGAGTACGTCGTGATTCGAGTCGAGCCTTCATTTCCGGTGTATCCGCCTTCTTTGGTTCGGACGCCACTGTCCGTCCAGAGATCCAGAAGAGTTTCGTGGCCAGGATTGAGCAGGTTGAGCTTTTGTCGAGAATTCTTGACTTGGCCAAGATCTTCTCCCGTCATCGAGTACCAAGTCATCGACTCGCGGTGACATAGCTCTTCATCGGATCCGTAGTCTCCGCAGTCGTAGAAACTGACATCATGGGCCAGTTGAGCAATAAAGAAGCGGCGTTTCTTCACGGGTGCAACGAGTGCGTTGGCTCCTTCAAGGGCGTGTAGTCGCGCGCGGTCGATCCCCTTCAGTGCTTCAGAACCGAGACTCAGGATGCTTTTCATGGTGTACTCATGATCCAGCAACAGCGCGAAAGAGTCGTCCTCATCCTCGTCTTCTTCATAGGCTAAATAGCTCTCGTCATCGTCGTCATCATCATCTTTCTCTTCCCGCTTGGTGTCGCCACTCTTGTCATCCGCGTCCTTCATATCGTCTTGAGTGTCTGCAGGTTTCTCGTCGGATGTCGCCTTTGTGCTCGTCTTCTTCTCACTGCCCATGCTCGCTATTGCTTGTGCCAAATCTTCGCTCAGACGTTTGTCTTCCGTTCTCTTCAAGTGCCGCATTGTAGACGGCAGACAGATGGAGTACACGAGAACGAGGCGGAAGCCTTTCGTCACTTCCTCCAAAGCATGCTCGGCGTCTGCATAGTGTACCGCATAATGCGTTGCGAACGCTGCACTACCGTCGGCTTTGCCGAAATCGTGTCGATACGTCAGCTCCCCATCTCGATACACGGCCAGGTCACCGCCTTCGTGCGCACTGGGCGGCTGCACCACCAAGGTCGCGATCATCCCGTCCTCCTTCTCCGTGTCCTGGTGCTTCACGAAGTGGCCTCCTTCCCCATACACCAGCAACTTGTACAAGACGCACTCCAACGGGACGTCCGTGTAGCCCAGGCGGTCCGCGATCACCTTCTGCAGCTTGTCCATGCCGACTTGCCACGAGGGATTCTTGAACTGGACCAAGTTCGCCTCCAGTTGCCAGCTCCTGCGGACGTTCTCGTCCATCTTGGTGTCGAGGTTGTGGCCGAAGGGGGACTTCTTACACAGAGCGATCAGCTTTTCAGCTTGGTCGGCGACTAACGGCGTGTGAATGGTGCCCACACTGCCCACAAACAGCCCGGATATAGCGGGTAACGTATCTGCGAGTCCACCGAACGAGTACTCTCCTGCGTGTTCATCTGCACGGGCAAGAATCTTACTGACTTGAGTACACCCAGCTCCTCTGGGCTTCAGCACATCTTCAAAGACGCCTTCACCAGTAAACGGCCACTTGCTGTCTTCAAAATCGCTTTCAATAGAGTACGCTTTTGTCATCCTTCCAAACGGTTGCCCCAACACAAAGAATCGGAAATGAATAGGAATCGAACCGTGGATACTTCGGAATATCGGAATCTGTCAATCAAATACCCCCCCCCACGATGTAAGATGACCTGAGGAGATTGACATGTTGAACCCCGGTTAGCGCAAGTACGGATTGCTTGACCTACAACGCTTTACTCCATATTTAATGCTTAGTGTAGTCATTCGTAGCCATAATCGTAACAATGCTTCTTTTTGGCTGCTGGATCGAAGTACATTGCTCTTGCTTCCAGCCTTGCTCAGAGCGAGTATTATTATAGAAGCACTCAGCTTTCACTTCAACGTTGAGTTGTCCGAGCGTAATGCGTAGAGTAGAACAGATGAGCTTGTGCATGTATGTACATGTATTACATGCACAGTAAAACTGCTACTGGTATCCTACATCACGATCTTTTGATCGCCCGAAAGGTCGGATTCGTCATATTGCAAGATGAAGCGTGCGTGGTCCATTGGCGTCTTCGTGCTCGCTAATTGGGGCGTCGTCGCGAATGGATGGGGTAGCGTCAGCGATAGAGGCCTGCAAACTGTTGTCAGTGTATACGAGTCGGGCTCGCAACCCGCCAGCAGCGTTGTCATAACGAGGGAGCTCGAGTGCAGTTTCAACGATGCCCAGGCATGCGGGAGAAATGGCAATAATGGCGTTGACGTGGCAACAAACTGCACGAATTACGACTCGGGATGGGACACGAGCGGGTCGATCAGAGAAGCTTTTGGGAGCCACCCTTACCTTGTCGTGGAGGAGTACGATCCGAGCACCAGATACTGCGGAGACGGTGACGGGGTGATCAATGCCACCGCGTACCTTGTCGACGAGAAGTGCCACACCAGTCGTGATGGCGCCGCGAGCACCAAGATCACGCTCGGGCGGTCACTGACCATCGCACAATATAGCGACCCAGTCTGTGGACGCGTGGAGAGCGAAGCGGAGGTGCCTTTCGGCGACTACTACGACAGAGCGTGCTCAAACAACGCCACTAGGTACTTGTACAATGGACCAACGCCACCAATGAGTGCGGTGGCTGTGTATAAAGACAGCTCGTGTTCTCAAGCACCTGTGAAGCTGACCGCTGAGCGGGACCCGTGGATCGGTGGCTGTCGACCGGACGGCAACTCGCACTACTCCGTGTCGAGCTGTACCAGTGACTACAATGAACTCGCGGCTGCTGTTTTCGGTGACGAGACACCGTATGCGGTGGTGGAGGAGTACCTGAGAGACTATTGTGCTGGTGGTAGAGCAAATTCGGCTACAGTTTACATCATGGACAATGCCTGTCACACTAATCCAGAGGATGCATCGAGCTAAGTTAATGTCGGACGGGTCGGCTATCATCACGACATATGCTGACGCGAACTGTGAACTGGTTGAGAGCAGTATTGCGCGTTCTAGTCGAACTTTCCGAAGTCGATTGATTGAATCGACCGACAGCAAACCGCCCGAGATTTTGATTTGACTTGAGTTTACTATGTACGCAATAAAGTACGAAATAAGAAGTCGCTCAGGCCGTCTCGGTCGATTCCAAAAGACTTGAAATTTGTATTCAGCGATTTCAACCCGTAAACCGACCCGAATCGGCAATATTGGCCAGAATTCACAATACGGAAACGCTCGGGGATGTGTCTACCTCAACGCGACTACCCTAATGGATACATCCACGGCTGTGCCAAGCGGTTCACCGTTGGTGGTTTGAAGGGCATGGCGTCGTTTGGACTAATGACTGCCATTGCGATTTATGAACGATCGTGTTCGGAAGTTCCGTTGGGAAAATTTTTAAATGGGTCTTATGCAGAACAGGTCTTGGATTTGATCAGAGGGTACTTTTTCATGATCTCGTGATTGGCTCACATTCGCCATGTTTTGATCGCAAGAGCCGACACTACGAAAGTTGCCGAGCCTCAGCGCAGTGGCTGCCACGGCACCGGCAAGCATCCTCGACTGCCAGCTCCTCGGTGATGTCGAGCTTTCCAGCCCTAACTGTCCAGCACGTCATGGAGTGAGCCCCCTCTCCACCTACCGGCAACCACAGCGTGAGCTGGGAGATGCAGGTGCAGCAGCAGCAATAGCAGCCGGCGGCGCACCTACGGAAAGCGCGCGGGCTCGTCACCGGAGAAGTCGCCGTTGGACACGAGACGGCGGATGCATTTCAAGGAGGAACGCCCACCGTGCATCGCGCCCGACTGACCACGCACCCTGTGATCAAAAGTTCCTGCGCGCAGCGGAGCCCATCTCGAGGCTGTTGGTGCCACCCGAGCCAGTGGGCAGACGCAGGAGGAAAATGGCGTCCAACAGAGTTTCGCTGCACGAGCGACTTCATCGGCGAGTGCTGCGCTCTAGGTCTGCGTCCCCTTCCGACGGCCGACCGTGGTGGCCTACTGCTTCGTCACCCACGAGCACCTCGGACGGAGACATGGGGGTCCAGCTGCTTCGCTTGAAGCTCGAGTCCAGTCCCGCCATGCGCTACGACGTTGTCTACAGTGACTACAAACGAGAAGAGTGAGGAAACCAAGTCAAGATGGAGGCCTGCACTCCCACGTCCGCACCAGCATCAGAATGACGACGACGGCAGACTCAAGCCCGCTCCACGCTTAGTGCTGCTCGACATGTGTACAAACTCTGCGGCGAGGATACGGACAGCGACGCGTTGGTGGGCAAGGCGCAGCTCGCCGTAGCTCACACAGACGTTCGAGCTGTTTATAATGAGCGAGGGCAAAGAGAGCGACATTGTAGTAAAGATCAAGTTTCGCCGCACCCTGATCCAAGTAGAAGGATAGTAAAGTCTGCATACTACGTAGTTTTCATATCGACACGAATATAATTGCTTCGAAGTTCGAAGTTCGATCACTATGTATTGCTCCGAAGTTATGCAAACGTATGCGTCTTTGACAGCTTCTTCAGCAGCGTTGTGCACTTCGGGGACGAGGTCGTACTTTACTACGCCTTAGTAAAGCAATTGGATATCCTAGTTACTGGGTTTACACATATCGGTGCCCTGTACTGTAGACTTCGTGTTGTTTCCCACGATGTTTTTTTTAGATTCTAGTACACCATACCAACGTAGAGAATGTCCAGTATGTGAAGTTACCGCCAATGCGTTTTGCTGTGACTAGAATCTCGGAAGAGCAGCATAACATTGCAACTAAGGACGCAGGTATTATAATACATGGACTAACTTACAGTTAGAAGTAGCTAGCAGCGATAGTGAGACATCGGGGATTGCCACTGCACAACGTTTGCTCATTCGGAGTAGCCACTCACATGGAACACCTTTAACTGCAACAAACCTGGCCAATGCATAGTAGGACAGATACATGAACGGAGCATGGAGAAGAATTGTCGTAGCGTGTTCCACTGCTGTGGTTGTTTGGTTCAGGTCTTTCGATTCGGTCTCATAATCAGCATGTTCAAATCCTAGACCTGATCTGCATAAGAACCTTCCGTTGCAGGTTATCGCGTTCCCCGACTCGACCTGCGAGGCTACTGCGAGGGATATCCAAGGATGCAATGATTGGTCCGACAACTGGTTTTACTACAATGGCAACTGTATCACCGATTCTACAGCTTTCGCGGAGTCGAAGTTCGGTGGCGCGTCTTACTTGCTCATGGAGAAATACGCCGAGGGGACGAATTGCGGCGCTCACATGTATACAGTCGCGTACAGATCCGACAACAAGTGCCACCCCAGCATTCTCGAGGGGACTCACTTCCGAGTTTCTCTGGGTAGTGACGACAACTCCTTGACGCTTGCAACTTTTCCAAGTGAATTATGTCGTGAATCTGACTCCGGTGCCACCATCGTCACGGTTGGAAGCTAGTACATCAACACCGGCTCGTGCTACAACGGAACCGCCAGGTTTTACTCCAACCTGGCGGCATTCTCAGCGCCAGTCCCCAGCTTGGATGAATACCAGACGCGAGAGCAGATCATGTTCCCCGACTGGTTGTGGGACCCACGTCCGCGACGTATACTACTACTACCTCTGAGCGGAAAATAACGCACCTAGCCAATCAGATTGCATCCTGTTCAGAACGATACCCTTGTAAATCCGATCGTTTGAATTGCGAATCTCCGCCCATTTTTCTGGACCGCACAACTTCCTCTAGTGCTCATTCGAAGATCTACTGCCTCCCGCTCAAGACGCAGCCTCCTGTTCAAGACGCACTCTCCTGCCCACGAAGCAAGCAACCGATGAAGAACGGCAAGCCGTTTGGGAAACGCTGCTCCTTCGCAGCACCAGAGGTGTGCTGAGCCCTGGGGACATTGTCCAGACTGCAGCACACTTTCACTTAAGCCGTTTCGTCGTCGCGCGCATTTGGGAGAGAGGAATTAGTTCGATGGGCGACCGCGTCGCTGATGTTGTCAAGTCAAGAAAGAGTGCGCGTGGCAGAAAGAAGCTAGACCGAGCAGTCCTCTGCGAGCATGTGTCAGCCGTGCCCGTCAACGAGCGTGAGAACCACCGCAAGATCCAACAGGCGTCGAATACAAGTTCCTACCTTGTCCAACAGTTGATCAAGGAGGGCTACATGAGGCGGGCCCTGAGGCACACACGGCCCCTGCTTACGGCATCGCATAGGGTGGCGCGCCTGAAGTTCGCCGTGAACCACGTGAAGCTAAACGGAGACGGGCAGTACTATTTCGACCCAATGTTCGACGTAGTCCACATTGACGAGAGGTGGTTCTACGTCAAAAAGATCGGCCAGCGTGTGTACGTGCTGACGGGCAAGGACGGCACACCCCTGGAAGAAGCTCCCGTACAGTACGTTCAAAACAAGGGTCACATCAAGAAGGTGATGTTCCTGTGCGCCGTGGCGCGGCCACGCGGCGGCTGGGACGGCAAGATAGAGCTTTGGCCTGTCGTGGAAACCTACATTACACAACGCTGGAGTGTCAACCGCCCCGCAGGTGTCGAGGAGATAAAACCAGTCTCTATGAACCGTACCTTGGCGCGCCGCATGCTCGTGACCGACGTCATTCCTGCCATCAAGGCAAAGTGGTCTCAAGATCAGAAGGCCACTCTCATTCGCATTCAACAAGACAACACGAGGCCACATGTGCTTGAGGAGGACGCTGAAGTGCTCGCTGCTGGACGCGCCGACGGATGGAATATCCGACTCAAGAACCAACCTGCCCAAAGCCCAGATCTCAATTGCCTGGATCTCGGCTACTTCTTCAGCATACAGTCTCTCCAGTCTCACACCAGCCCACGGACCACGGAGGATCTCATCAAGGAAGTTGAGCTCGCGTTTGCAGAGACTACGGCAGAGACTCTCAACAAGACATTCTTAACGCTGCAACTTGTCGTGAAGGAGATCATGACCAACGAAGGGCGCAACAACTACCGGCTCACGCACATGCACAAGGACAAGCTGATCAATGCTGGCCAACTCCCCACCACTCTGATGTGTGATGCCGAGATCCTCTTCAGCGCTCACTCAGCAATCGCAATGCTCTCTGTAGAGCAGATCTACGCAGAGCAGCTTCGTGCTGCCCAACCTCGTCCGGTTAGAATTTTCAGCACAGAGGTAGTACCTCTGTGAGCATTGCGATTGCTAGAGCATTGCGATTGCTGAGTGAGCGCTGAAGAGGATCTCGGCATCACACATCAGAGTGGTGGGGAGTTGGCCAGCATTGATCAGCTTGTCCTTGTGCATGTGCGTGAGCCGGTAGTTGTTGCGCCCTTCGTTGGTCATGATCTCCTTCACGACAAGTTGCAGCGTTAAGAATGTCTTGTTGAGAGTCTCTGCCGTAGTCTCTGCAAACGCGAGCTCAACTTCCTTGATGAGATCCTCCGTGGTCCGTGGGCTGGTGTGAGACTGGAGAGACTGTATGCTGAAGAAGTAGCCGAGATCCAGGCAATTGAGATCTGGGCTTTGGGCAGGTTGGTTCTTGAGTCGGATATTCCATCCGTCGGCGCGTCCAGCAGCGAGCACTTCAGCGTCCTCCTCAAGCACATGTGGCCTCGTGTTGTCTTGTTGAATGCGAATGAGAGTGGCCTTCTGATCTTGAGACCACTTTGCCTTGATGGCAGGAATGACGTCGGTCACGAGCATGCGGCGCGCCAAGGTACGGTTCATAGAGACTGGTTTTATCTCCTCGACACCTGCGGGGCGGTTGACACTCCAGCGTTGTGTAATGTAGGTTTCCACGACAGGCCAAAGCTCTATCTTGCCGTCCCAGCCGCCGCGTGGCCGCGCCACGGCGCACAGGAACATCACCTTCTTGATGTGACCCTTGTTTTGAACGTACTGTACGGGAGCTTCTTCCAGGGGTGTGCCGTCCTTGCCCGTCAGCACGTACACACGCTGGCCGATCTTTTTGACGTAGAACCACCTCTCGTCAATGTGGACTACGTCGAACATTGGGTCGAAATAGTACTGCCCGTCTCCGTTTAGCTTCACGTGGTTCACGGCGAACTTCAGGCGCGCCACCCTATGCGATGCCGTAAGCAGGGGCCGTGTGTGCCTCAGGGCCCGCCTCATGTAGCCCTCCTTGATCAACTGTTGGACAAGGTAGGAACTTGTATTCGACGCCTGTTGGATCTTGCGGTGGTTCTCACGCTCGTTGACGGGCACGGCTGACACATGCTCGCAGAGGACTGCTCGGTCTAGCTTCTTTCTGCCACGCGCACTCTTTCTTGACTTGACAACATCAGCGACGCGGTCGCCCATCGAACTAATTCCTCTCTCCCAAATGCGCGCGACGACGAAACGGCTTAAGTGAAAGTGTGCTGCAGTCTGGACAATGTCCCCAGGGCTCAGCACACCTCTGGTGCTGCGAAGGAGCAGCGTTTCCCAAACGGCTTGCCGTTCTTCATCGGTTGCTTGCTTCGTGGGCAGGAGAGTGCGTCTTGAACAGGAGGCTGCGTCTTGAGCGGGAGGCAGTAGATCTTCGAATGAGCACTAGAGGAAGTTGTGCGGTCCAGAAAAATGGGCGGAGATTCGCAATTCAAACGATCGGATTTACAAGGGTATCGTTCTGAACAGGATGCAATCTGATTGGCTAGGTGCGTTATTTTCCGCTCAGAGGTAGTATTTGAGAGCGACTAAGCAAGAACACAGGCAGCAAAGGGCTTGCGAGTCATGAATGGACTGACCTCATATCCAGAATGAAGAGAATGGTCGTACATCTCGACACTGCTTGAAATTGTGAATACATTTCTCCATTTTTCTTTGAAACACTAGGTTCAGGCAGCTACTTGCAGACAATGCTATACAACAGAAACATTCTCCACACTGCAGAAGTCCACTCACATCTCCTTGGCCATGAACTCCTCGTAGCTGAGGCCGAACAACCGCTGCACGTCGCGCTGGATGTCGCTCTTGGACACCTTCCAGCCCGTCGCGAAGAGCTTCTCGTACATGTCCACGAGCACCTCGCCGATGATGTCGCGCGAGTGGCGCCACTTGTAGATGAGCTGGTCCAGCACGCGCGCGTCCGAGTGCTGGCTCGTGAACGCCGTGCCCAGGATCTCGATGCGCATGCGCGTCAGCTCCTCGATGATCGACGGGTTGTTGCAGTACCACCAGCAGCCGTACAGGTGCAGGTTGCGGAACTTGTTGGCCGTCACCGTCACCTCGTGCTGGTTCACGCGCGACAGGAACGTGGCCAGGAACTTGACCTTGGGGAAGTTGCGGCACAGCTTGATCAGGATGTCCACGTCGCAGGGCTTCACGCCGTCGCCGGCCACGCCCAGGCGGGCGTTGATCGGCCGCACGCTGTCGAACTTGAGCGCGATCGGCAGCTTCTTCTCCTCGGCCAAAGGCAGCAGCACCTGCAGCAGCAGCTCCGCGCCGTTCGGCAGCTCGCCAGCGCTAGTCGCAAGCGCGTTCTCGTCCGGGTACTCGAACGAAATGGGCACGCTCGACATGAAGTACTCGGGCTGCATGATGTCGATCCACTTCTCCAGCAGCGCGCGCACGCCCGCCAGAGTGTGCGGCAGCTTGAACACGTCCAGCGTGGGGCCGATGGACGCCCAGTCGCCCAGCAGGATCTGGTCCACGCGCAGCGCCGAGCGGAAGTACTTGCGCGACCACGCGGGCGGCGGCGTGTTGGAGGCCGGGTCGCCCAGCCAGTGGCGAGCCTCCTCGGGCTCGAACGGGATGTTGGTCATCACGGCGTACTTGAGGCCCGACAGGCGGAACACCGTGTCCACGTACTCCTCGGCGTCCTGCTGCTTGAACCACTCCTGGATGGCGCGCAGGTCGCGCTTGGCCACGAGGTGGTCGAGACCCAGCAAGTGCAGCGTCGTCAGCACGCCGCGGCACGCCTCCGACACGGGAGACCGGTCCACGAACAGGTGCTGCCAGATGAGCCCGGCCTGCTGCTCCTTCGAGTACGTGTTGAACTCCTCCACCTGCATGGGCGCCGTCTGCAGGAACTCGGCCACCAGGTAGTGATACGTCAGCAGCTCGTTCACGCCCCACAGCATGAGCTTGCCGTGGCTCGGGGGGAACAGGTGCGTGTGCACGTCGATGATCTGCACGCTGGCCACGGCCTCGCGCACGAACGTCGCCACCTCCTCCTTGGTGGCCAGGTACTCGCTGGTCTGGTGGTTGCGCAGCACGTCCTCGAGAGTCTCGAGCGCGGTCTGCTTGCCCGACACGAGGCGCTGGTACAGTGCGGCCACGTCGGCGGCGAACGAGGCGTAGGCGTTGTTGGTGAGGTCGAAGCCCTTGACGGAGCTGAGCACGCTGGCGACGGCCACGCCGACGCCGCTGGAGACCTCGGACGAGGACTCCGCACGATCGGACTTGGGGAAGTCGTAGCTGCTGCTCTTGCTGGCACCGAAAACGTTTTCGCAGGTTTGCCACAGGAGCTTGGCAGTTTTGCCGTGCTCGCCGTCCAGGAACTCGTACTTGCCCGTCGAGATGTTAGCGCTCAATCCGTTCGCATAGATCCACGTCTTCTCGGTCGCAGAGTAAATGGGCGTGCGGTCTTGAATCGAGTCCATCGCACCCACGAAAACGCTGGGCCCACTACCGTCCTCCTTCCTGGAGTCCGCTTGCGTCGGCGTCAAGTAGCGCAGACTGACGGCCGTAGCGAACGCCATGAACACACTAGGACGGTACATTGCGTCGCTCTTCACGTTGGCCTCGACACTGCTGAAGAGCCTGACGCCAAACTTGAGCATAGCATTCTGGCCGACCCAGAAGTTGTCCAGGCCGAAGTGCTCGTGCTCCACGCGAGCCATCCACTCGTCATACGTGTGCTGTGCCTCCTCCTTGCTGACTCCGCGCGCCACCAGCGACGGAGCGATATCCTTGGCGTACAGCAGGTCGAGGAACTGCCGGATCTCCGGGATCTTCAACACCTCGCTCGTCGTCTTGACGCGCGTCAGTGCCAACAGATAGACCATGGCGGTGTGCACAGCGTTGGCGATGCTGAGCTTGAGCAGGTGATCCTGCTCCAGCTGGCCCGCAGTCGTGCGGATGTGCACGCCGGGCAGCGCGCTCAGCACCTTGGCATCCAGCACTCCGTGGAGGTCTTCAATGATCAGCGTCTTGGTTGGCCACGGCTCCGTCAGCGGCACCAGCGCGTCGCCCGCTCGGTGCGACGTGAGGCGGTCCACCATGGTGTTGTGGAAGTGCACCTTGGTCTCCACGTAGGCGTGGAACGGGGCCAGGTCGCCGGGCTGGCCCGGCCACTGGGTCTCCAGCACCAGCTTCTTGATGGCGTCTCCGTTCTTGGGCAGGTTGTCCGTGTTGACGACCGAGAGGACGGCGTCGGGCCGCGCCTGGAAGCTGTAGAACAGCAGCTCCGTCAGGTCCACGATGGCGGGGCCGCCCTTGACGATGCCGCTCTCCGTCACACCGAAGCCGATGAACTTGAGCTTGGGCAGCTTGGCCGGCAGCTGCATGAAGGCCTTGCGGCCCTCGGCGTCGCCCAGGGACCCCACGGCGTCCACCTGGACGACCTCCGTCTGCACGCTGCCGTCCTTCTGGATGGTGTCCACCTCGTACGAGCCCTCGGCCTTGGCGCAGGCCGACGCGAAGCTCGTCCCTCGCGTCTGGGCCATGACGACGGAGCTGCCGGCCGCGCGCAGAGTCGGCACGAGCACGCAGCGCTGGGGAGAGGCAAAGGAAGGAAGGACAGATTAGTGCATGAACAGTAGAGGAGAGGGAGTAAGAGTGAGCGCTCGAGAGCTGGAGACGCACCAGGAAGCGGCCGCTGCCGATGCAGATGGCGTCCGTGCTGTCCGAGAAAGTGGCCTGGCCTCGCAGCGGCTGGAACATCGTGTGCGTCTCGGTCTTCTTGGGGGCTCTGAGGTCTGCGGCGCAAAACGAGCAATGACGGCGAGCTTCAACCACGAGCAAGGATCGCGACGCACCGTTTCTTATGCGTCGTATAGATTACTGTTATATTCAATGACCTTCTTAATCGGTTGTTGTCAAGATGGATTCATTCAAAGTATTTGTATTTGATTTATCGGATACCTCTGATAACTATTTGCATCAAACATGAGCAATATGAGGTAAAACAGCGCACAGCGCTGACGTACTTGGGCGGTGTTAAATGGAGATGCTCCTGAGCCGCAGGCGAGTGACGATTGCTTGCGCCCGTGCGTAGAGTGCCGGCTGCAGGGTGGGGCTTCAACCTTAGCTGCTGATGAGTGATGGAAGTTGGGCGTGCCGCCATCGGTTGCTGGCACCGGCGATCCGACCGAGTTAACACGGGCCTGCACTTCCCAGGATGCTCTCGTTGTACTGAAGTACAGTGCAACCACAGAGCGCAGGGGGTCTCTCACTCCGCGTGTGCGATCCGCTCGGTCTTTCGCCTGTAGAAGCGCCGAAACCAAAGGATACGAAACACACCATCCCAACACGTTCACACCTGCTCCCGAGGCGATCATCTGCTTCAAACTTCAGCCAGAGGCTTCGACACTCGTCACACGTCGCAGATAACATGTTTGCAGGGGCTCCGGTAAGCGTACGTGGCGTCCCCACGTCCTCACTTTTGAATCGTCGCCGTAGATCGCATCCGCAGCAAGACAGACCAGCAGCTCCATCATGTTCACGCCGCTCCAGGGCCCGACCTTCGCCAGCAACACACGCGCCGTCTGCATCGGCAGCGGCCGCTTCATGGTACACGGAGCGATATGCAATAAGCACCCTAGTTCCCAGAATCTTGACGCTGATACTTTGTTTGTGGTGTACTTCAGCGCGCCGTGCTGGTTCCAGTGTTCCGCGCGCTTGACTCGGGCGTTGTGGTGGCGCAGACGCGCGGCACGAGCTTTGCCACTGCATGTGCGGCTGCGAAGGGCAAGTACGAGGTGGACACCATCGACGCGGAGGGACGCGTGGACACGTCTGTCATTGAGCTGGAAGGTAGAGTGAAAATGCTGCGACCAATGCAATTGTGAGGCTATGACTGAGACTGTTGTGTTCTTTGACGAGCAGCGGTGGGATCTCTGGGCGTCCCCGAGGGCCGCGCGGCGTTCCTGGAGCTCCCGGCCAAGCTGCCGCAGCTCAAGTACGTTGGCTTCGGCGTCACGGAGGCGGGACTGCAGTCGAACACTCAGGTGATCAAGGACCTGGCGGAGTTCTTGCAGCACGCCTTCCAGGCCATCCCAGGTACCTGTCTACTGCATGAAATAACGAGTTTCATTGTGCAAGGTCTGACTGATGCCTCTTTCTGGCTACAGACAACGAGCTGTCCATTATCAACACGGACAACTTCCCCAACAACGGCGACCACATCAAGAAGCTCGTGCTAGAGCTGGACTGGGTCAAGGCAGCAGACGCCGCCGCATTCCGAGCCTACTTGGATGCCAAGGTGCACTTCCACAATACCATGGTGGACCGCATCACGAACCACCGCGCTGGCGACTCGCTGGTGCCTCTCACGGAGCCGCTGCCGGCCAAGGCCATCGCCATCGAGGACCTGCGCGGCGCTCTGGACGCCGACAGTCTGCGCAAAATCCCTGGCGTCCTCGTGCGCACGGACAAGTCGGAGATCGCCAAGGACTACCTGCTCAAGTTCTCTCTGGGCAACGCGGTCAACTCGGCCATGGTGTACCTGCTCGCGCTTTCGCGTCAGCGTACGGCCAACCAGTTCATCAACTTCCCCATCATCGGCGAGTACCTGGACGCGCTGTTCGAGCAGGACATCCTGCCAGCTCTGGTCGCTGGCGACGTAGCTGAGGCCGAAGCGCGCAAGTTCTACGCCGAGTGGCTCGTGCGCATGAAGCACCCGCACTTCGGCCTCGACAACTTCTGGGTCTCCCAGAACGCGCTGCTGCGGGTCTACGTGCGCCTGCTCAACTCGGTGAACATCAACATCGCCAACGACAAGAACTACTACCCGAGCAAGTTCATGGCCTTCGCGACTGCTGCCGCACTGCGCTTCCTCACGCCGTGGCAGGCCGACTCGAAGCGTGACGCCCCCACCGTCTTCGTCGGCCAGATGGACCCCATCCAGAACTGCGCACCGATCTTCTCGCTCACCGAGAAGACCTGGAACTACGACACCGATCTGACGGCCAACCTCTCGACGGGCAAGTACGAGTTTGACGACGGCGAGAATGGCCGAGTGTCTCGCCTGCTGTGGCGCGCGAGCCAGCAGGTGCTTGAAGCCAGCAAGAGCAGCAGCTACGACTTCCCCAAGTCCGATCGTGCGGAGTCCTCGTCCGAGGTCTCCAGCGGCGTCGGCGTGGCCGTCGCCAGCGTGCTCAGCTCCGTCAAGGGCTTCGACCTCACCAACGACGCCTACGCCTCGTTCGCCGCCGACGTGGCCGCACTGTACCAGCGCCTCGTGTCGGGCAAGCAGACCGCGCTCGAGACTCTCGAGGACGTGCTGCGCAACCACCAGACCAGCGAGTACCTGGCCACCAAGGAGGAGGTGGCGACGTTCGTGCGCGAGGCCGTGGCCAGCGTGCAAATCATCGACGTGCACACGCACCTGTTCCCCCCGAGCCACGGCAAGCTCATGCTGTGGGGCGTGAACGAGCTGCTGACGTATCACTACCTGGTGGCCGAGTTCCTGCAGACGGCGCCCATGCAGGTGGAGGAGTTCAACACGTACTCGAAGGAGCAGCAGGCCGGGCTCATCTGGCAGCACCTGTTCGTGGACCGGTCTCCCGTGTCGGAGGCGTGCCGCGGCGTGCTGACGACGCTGCACTTGCTGGGTCTCGACCACCTCGTGGCCAAGCGCGACCTGCGCGCCATCCAGGAGTGGTTCAAGCAGCAGGACGCCGAGGAGTACGTGGACACGGTGTTCCGCCTGTCGGGCCTCAAGTACGCCGTGATGACCAACATCCCGTTCGAGCCCGAGGAGGCTCGCCACTGGCTGGGCGACCCGGCCTCCAACACGCCGCCGCCCGCGTGGTCGCGCAAGTACTTCCGCTCGGCGCTGCGCGTGGACCAGATCCTGCTGGGCGACTGGGCGTCCATCGGCCCCACGCTGGACGTGTTCAAGCTGCCGCACACTCTGGCGGGCGTGCGCGCGCTGCTGGAGAAGTGGATCGACATCATGCAGCCCGAGTACTTCATGTCGAGCGTGCCCATTTCGTTCGAGTACCCGGACGAGAACGCGCTTGCGACTAGCGCTGGCGAGCTGCCGAACGGCGCGGAGCTGCTGCTGCAGGTGCTGCTGCCTTTGGCCGAGGAGAAGAAGCTGCCGATCGCGCTCAAGTTCGACAGCGTGCGGCCGATCAACGCCCGCCTGGGCGTGGCCGGCGACGGCGTGAAGCCCTGCGACGTGGACATCCTGATCAAGCTGTGCCGCAACTTCCCCAAGGTCAAGTTCCTGGCCACGTTCCTGTCGCGCGTGAACCAGCACGAGGTGACGGTGACGGCCAACAAGTTCCGCAACCTGCACCTGTACGGCTGCTGGTGGTACTGCAACAACCCGTCGATCATCGAGGAGCTGACGCGCATGCGCATCGAGATCCTGGGCACGGCGTTCACGAGCCAGCACTCGGACGCGCGCGTGCTGGACCAGCTCATCTACAAGTGGCGCCACTCGCGCGACATCATCGGCGAGGTGCTCGTGGACATGTACGAGAAGCTCTTCGCGACGGGCTGGAAGGTGTCCAAGAGCGACATCCAGCGCGACGTGCAGCGGTTGTTCGGTCTCAGCTACGAGGAGTTCATGGCCAAGGAGATGTGAGTGGACTTCTGCAGTGTGGAGAATGTTTCTGTTGTATAGCGTTGTCTGCAAATGAATCAAGCGCCTTGAAAAATGGAGAAATGTATTCACAACTTTTCAAACTTTACGTAGCTGACGACTTACAACTCGAGGTCATCCATGAATGACGACCCTAAGCGTAAATATTGTTGTTGCCGCATAGATGCGTATGAATGCGCTTTACGCACAACACCTTCAAGATGATCGTCCTTCAGTAATTTTGCGATCTCGATGAGCTTTTCATAGTAGCTAGGTTCCACCAAATGTGCCAGGTACTCGAGCATGAGCATCGAAGAACCCAGCATTCTGTATCGACGTACTGCTCCACCTTCTCAACATCCTTGACACCCCATGTGCGCATTTGTCGATATGCTCCGTTGAGCTATTGCGGATCGGCGTGGTATCCACCACTGCTTCTCCTCTTCCTCGTCCTCTACTTCTTCTCTCATTCTTTTTTCGTGTCTAGCAGGAAGTCGAACCAATACGTGAATTTGATTTGCCGGTTTCGGTGCACTTTCGTTGATCATGTTGTTGTCTGGTTCTCCTTTGACTGTCCGGCCGATTTCTTCGTCGATCTCCCCCCTTGCCAGTTTCAGCACAGCTGGATCGTCATTTGGCAGCCACGAGTTGTTCTTCATCGCCAGGAAAAGCTTGATGCGTCTTTGCGAAGTTGTAATCTCCTTCTTCTTCTGCCTAATTGTCTCCTTCAAGCCGCCTATCGTGTCGATCACTTCGGTGTCGATGGGGAACACCAACGATTGCACAGAGTAGCCTCACCATTTTCAATCTAAAGCCCAGAAATTTGCATCATTCAAGTAGAAACTGTCAATCGACCTCTTTCGCGACTGTTTATAAGAAATACTGCTGCAAACGGATTGATTGATAGAAATCTGCTCGACTACTTTTCCGCGAGTTATAGTAGTGTTTGTTCATTTTCAATTCTTCGAGCTTAGCAGCAAACCCTCAGCAATGGAAACGGAGTCACTTGAAGAAGACTTTGACGACGGCAAGTGGCCGTTTACTGGTGAAGGCGAGTTTGCAGATGTGCTGAAACCCAAAGGCGTTGGTTGTGCTCAAGTGAGCAAGGTCCTTGCCCGTGCAGATGAACACGCAGGCGAGTACTCGTTCGGCGGACTCGCAGATACTTTACCCGCTGTATCCGGGCTGTTTGTGGGCACTGTGGGCACCATTCACACGCCGTTAGTCGCCGACCAAGCTGAAAAGCTGATCGCTCTGTGTAAGAAGTCCCCCTTCGGCCACAACCTCGACACCAAGATGGACGAGAACGTCCGCAAGAGCTGGCAGCTGGACGCGAACTTGGTCCGGTTCAAGAACCCGTTGTGGCAAGTCGGCATGAACAAGCTGCAGAAGGTGATCGCGGACCGCCTGGGCTACACTGATGTCCCGTTGGAGTGCGTCTTGTACAAGTTGCTGGTGTATGGGGAAGGAGGCCACTTCGTGAAGCACCAGGACAAGGAGAAGGAGGACGGGATGATCGCGACCTTGGTGGTGCAGCCGCCCAGTGCGCACGAAGGCGGTGACCTGGCCGTGTATCGAGATGGGGAGCTGACGTATCGACACGATTTCGGCAAAGCCGACGGTAGTGCAGCGTTCGCAACGCACTACGCTGTGCACTATGCAGACGCGGAGCATGCTCTGGAGGAAGTGACGAAAGGGTTCCGACTCGCTCTCGTGTACTCGATCTGTCTGCCCGCTACGATGAGGCACTTGAAGAGGACGGAGGATAAGCAGTTGAGCGAAGATTTGGCACATGCGATCTCTAGTATGAGCAGTGAGACCAAGACGAGCGAGGTGGAGGGGGATGCAGCCAAGCCCGAAGATGCTAAGAAGGGGGAGAATGATGACAAAAATCTGGACAAGAAGACGACGACAAAAGGTTACACAGCCACACGGAAGCTGCCGGACGACGGCACGATAAAATACGTCGTCGACGAGGATGCGGATGGTTCATTTGCGCTGTTGCTGGTTCATAAATACACCACGAAAAGTATCCAGAATCTCGGTTCCGGCGCATTGGAAGGCATCGATCGCGCGAGATTCCACGCGCTCGAAGAGGCCAACGCTCTCGTCGCTCCTGACAAGAAACTTCGCTTCTTTATTGCTCGGTTGGCGCATGATGTCAGGTACTACGACGATGGCGGCCGCTGCAGGAAAGACGCCCACCGCGAGTCGATGACTTGGTACTCGATGGCGGGGGAAGATCAGGGGCGAGTCAAAAACTCAAAGCAAAAGCTCAATCTGCTCAACCCTGGCAACGAAACACTTGAGGATCTCTGGTGGAAGTATGGAATTCTAACCAAGGAGGGCGGGTACACCGGCAACGCAGGCTCGACTAAAATCACGACGTATTCGAGATACGCGATCGTTGCCTGGCGAGTGGCGGATGATGCGAAGAAGGCGTTGAGGTTTTTGCCAATGCTTGCCGCTGCGGAGGCACTGCGCGCCCAGAGACCGGTGGACGGAGCAGCACTTCGTAAATTATTCGACACCGCCAATGTCAGACTAGAGGCTGAAAACAGGGACAGGGAATATTGGGAAGGAAGAGTTACGACATGGTCGATGGACTTGCGCGAGGTGGTGTGTGACCTTCTCGTTGACGCCGGCGATATCGACGCTGTGAATTTATTCTTCAATGACTACTGTGGTGCGCTTGGCGGTCTGGAAGGGAATGAAGCTTTCGTTCCTTCGATTACCAAGATCCTGCGCGCGTACAACTGGGATGAAGTCGGTGAAGCAGTTTGTAAGGCACTGGGTGAGAGCGACGACAAGGGCGGCAAAGGCGGCTTGTCGGCGCTGGAAATGATTCTGCGCGTGATTGACGGGCTCGACCATGGTGCGGCTCGGCAGGCTCTGATTGACAAGGCGATGCAACAGACAACGTCAACCAAGGATGAAGATCTGTTCGTGTTGAGCTACATTGGGGTGCTCTGGAAGGTGGCTATCGACTGTGCCGACAAGACGCTGTTTGACGCTGTTGCGGATAGGCTCAAGAATGCAGACCCCAGTCTGCTTGGGCCTTCCATTCAGTACCTCTCCCAGTACGTCAACAGCGCCGATGCAAACGATGAGAAAGCTGGGATAGTGGCGTTTGTCGCTCCAAAGCGGATCCAGTGGCTCCGAGACCAAGTTGAAGCGTTGGAGAAGCCATTTTCGTGGGAAATGCGTGAAGCGGAATTTCCTGACAACGATGAGATTCAGTCGTTTCTGCGAGGCCTTGAGGTCTCCATGGAGATTAAAGGCGCGAAGAAAAGGTTTAACGATCTCGAAGAGGCGAAGCAGTACGCGGCCGATTGGGCGAAGAAGCAAACGAAATGCTCTTTCGAGGCGGAAGGTCACGAGACAGACGGGGTTGCTTTTGTGACGATCACGAAGACTCGCGACTGGTTCTTGAAGCAACAAAGCAACTTGGTGCTCTACAGGAAGGAACTGCGTCGCCTGGTGGATCGTTTCGACAAGTCGAGTGGGGATGTTGGAGAGAAGAAGCGTAGTCGTCACGACTAATGAGGTGCATTCTACATGAAATACCCTGCATTCGACTACTAGGTGTGCGAATGGTCAGCAGTATCGAACGCGTTCTCAAACCAATAGGATTTAACTCCTTCGTTTCATTTCGCAGTTAATTACATTGATCTCACTTCAACCTCTCCTAGTAGCCGACATCCTTTCATACGCTTAGCTTCGCTCGCGATGCTTTCGGGCTTCGGATCGTTGGTGCCACCACTTCTTCCGTTAGGCATTCTTCGCCTTCGTCGACATTGATGTCGATGGCGATCCTCCAAAGTAACGAACCCTTGAATGTACAGTACTCACCTGGTTCCACATCCATCACTTAGTTGCATAGCTGTCAATCGATTTCAACCTATGCGTAAATTCAAATATCGAAAAACAAGAGGAAACAAGTTCGTGCTCGATTTTTCGATTCTTCGAGTTTAGCAGCAAAGCCATGAACCCAGAGTCACTCGACGAAGATTTTGACGACGGCAAGTGACCGTTTACTGGTGAAGGCGACTTCGCAGGTGGTCTCCACCCTAGGGGCCCAAACTCCGCACTACGCAACTAGCTCCAAGCCGCAACGACGGATTCGTTCGCTGCCCTGCTGGCCACTATGCGGACATGCTTCACGGGCACCCCTCGCGGGTTTGCTTTGGCTATGCTCCTCGCAACCACTTGCTGCCGATAGAATAGAGAATCTTGCAGCCCCACCAGTGTTGCTTATTGTTTCGATGTCGATGGCCTGTATGGGTTATACTGAGACTCGAAGTTTGCTCCATTACACTACAAAAAATGGTAATGGTGATTGATAGAGTTATTGGATCAATTCGAGCTACTCAGCATCGCTTCGCATCGATTTTTTGTACCAAAGTTATGGTACATTACCGATTAGCAAATATTTTGAGACCCGTTACTGATTAGCAAATTCCCAGCCAAAATTGGTACCGAATTGCAATTTTCCCTTTATCCTATCATTCGAAGGATTAAAATGAAAGCAATCAAATTATAGTTTAAAATTACTACTTTTCTCCTTTTTATAGCTCATCTCTCCCGATCAGGCGAAAATTCGTAGGTTGCCCCTGAGTCGAGGGTGGACGCAAAGCCTGTTCACCATTAAGCTTAGTTGTATATATAAGATCACGCTCAATGTCGATGTCTGCGTTTCCAAGAGCTGTACTTGAGATAAATATAAATCAAACCTAGGTCTTAATTAAGAGCTGGCTGGATTAAAATTGAGATTATACTGAGATAGCAGTGGCCGATAGGTCATGCTGCTACAAATCGGGTTAACTCGCACTTCGGTAGCTGAAGCCGGTAACTGAGGTCGGTATCCGTGGTCCCGTGTCACTGTCTGTCATTCTGTCGGTGACCCAGTTACTGAAGCCAGTAACTAAGGCAATATCACTTTCTGTCTCATAGTAGAGCTAAACATCAATCGCGTTGCGCCCGTGATGAACCGAGCACGCATATATGACAGCAGTCTTGCATATCTTGCGACGCCCACAAATTTAGGACCAGAAAATGACAAGATTTTTGCTGCATTTACTAAGAACTTATCCCCAACAAGATTTTTTTAAGGATAAATATAGGGACCAAATTTAAGGCAGTGTTTTTGACCACATTTTAACATGTTAGGAGCTATGTCAGGTATGGATAGAAAGGTCTGCATTCGGTCTACACGAGGGTAAGATCCGTATGCACTAGCGTTGTGGTGTCTTCGCATAGCAGCTCGAGAAAAAAGGTCACTCGGAGCGTATCGCTTTTTTGTGTTTATCTAAACCATTTCCGGGTCGTTCTGCACAAATGCTAGATTAAAAAAATCACGTAGAAAAAGGACGCGTATACTTCTGGCGTATACTTGGTCGACTTCTGATCAAATTCTCGATTCGAAATGACCACAGCCATTTTCAAAACGATCAGCTGCCCTTTTTGTGATACCACCGAGGGAAGCAGATCAACAATTATCCTTTTCGAGAAAATTCTGTCTGATCTCAGTATTGTTTGAGAACATAAATACGATACAGTGTCAAATGTTGATCAGTCTTTCCAACAACGTACCAGAAAAATGGCACATGTTCATTTAGAAAATGAAAGTGATTGTTTTGAATCCGTGTATTGTTCTGGTCGAGGTCGGACGTGTATAGTGCCCTTTTTTCGAGTGATTGTTTACAACAAGAAGAAGAAGAAAGTTCGATTACCGATTATTTGTCTTCTCAACTTGCTTAGTAGATGCTAACTGTGACGGGGTCATACAGCACAATGCACAGAGGAAGTGCGTGCGGATATTACTATCCAGGTGAACAGCAGTTCACCAGTTCCCGGCCTCAAAGGGAACGGTTTGCTACAAAGGAGTAGGTTATAAGACTGACTGTATTTTGGTATAGGTTAACTTGGTCGTAATACAAACTACAAGTTAACTGTACAAAAGCCCACACAAACTCAAATGGTTGGCTTGCGGGGCTACTGGTACCATGTACCATGTACTCGGGAGAGTGACACCCGTCACTCTTCATGTAATGGGTACACTGGATTGTACCCCGTTACATCTTCCCCCACTTATCTGAGAATCACATCTGATTCTCCAATCAGCTTCGAGAGAATCCGAACACCCGAAGGTCGGATTCTCGGGCGCTGCCGCCGCAAGGCTGGCGCGCCTCATCGTCACGCCCACAGTGACTTGTGCCCGCAGCGGGCACCCCGCGCGGAACCCTCCTGCCCTCGGCGATGTTGGCCGCGAAGCCGACGCGTTTAGTGGTCGTATTCACAGCGCTAGCAGGCGCAGAGTGCCTCGGCACGGGATGCATGTGCCTCCAAACTTGCGGTGTCCCTCGTAGACAACCAGCAGTTGACGTCGCATGGCCCTCGGGCCCCGCTGGCACGTCCGTGCTGCAGTTCCTCCCGCGAGGGACAGCACCTTTCCGGTCAGCGCGTAGCGTAACCATGGAGAGAGCTGTGCTGCTCATCTCCGGCCATGACAGCGGCCCGACAGGGCCCCGCTCGTCACAGCACGGTGTGCCGGTCGGCCGAATACGTCGGCTCGACCCATGGGCTATGGTCAAGCGCTGACCACAGCCATGAAGCGTCATGCTTCAACGTCGTGTTTGCTTGAGCGACCATGGCTGCTTCCAGCAACCCGCTCATCATACAGAGCAACGCGGCGGACTCGTCTAAAGCCCTGCAGCGCGTCACGGCCATCACGTCGCCGACGCTAAGGTGTCTTCCTTCGACACCAGGGTACTTCATCGTGGTGTGGGGTGTATTGCCCTCCGTCACCGGCGATCGCATCCTGCGTCGCGGTGACCAACACCAGGTCGGTGTGCGTGCAAGACCGCATGGCACACAGTCCATACAGGACCTCACGGTGTACGAGGGCACCACCTCATACACCAAAGGCACGTCGTGTATGGCACGTACCACGACTGCCATAAGTGCCTCGTGCACCTCATGTGCCACGTGCACAAGAAGTGTCGCGTGCACTGCGGGTACATCGCGCACACGAAGTGCCACGCGCACAGTGAGCGTCACACACCGCGACTATCTCACAGGTAGTATGTGCCACGTGCACGCGTATGGCTTCGCGCCTTACAGGTGCGGCATGTGCCGCGCCAACTGTGAATGTCTGCAAAGGCAACACGTTCGGGTTCTCCCCTCGTGGGCAAAACCCATGCTCGGGACTGATAGCTACCTGGCCGGCAGACGTGCCGCGCCCAGCGTAGCTACAGCCTGGAGCTTTGGCGTGGTGCTGATGGCTACCTGGCCGGTAGACGTACCGCGTTCAGTGTTGCAACAGCATCACGCTGCGGCATGGTGTTGCGTATGTACACATGCCATCGTCCGCGGACCAAGCCGCAGACTGGCTGCCATGTCATTGCCTGACAGAGGCAGCCTTCCAGCAGCGAATGCGCGCGCCATCTTCGGCCCAGCAGCGACAGTAGCCGCTGCCAAGGTTGCTGGCCATCGGTCACCATGACCATGGGACCTGAGCAGCGATGCATCAGGTCCAGCACCTTCGTGCAATACTTCGTGAGTGGCTACACCATGCAGCCACTACACTGGCTTCTACGACGAAGCAAGTCTCATGCCAGAGACCTCGGGAGGAAGGGCACTTCCGATCCCCTCCCCCACTTACGATTTGAGCCCCGGCGGATCAGGTGCCAGCCGACCGTCTAACCTGGCGCCGCCCTGCAGCACCGCGTCACCGTGCCAGCAGACTCCGGTGGCACGGGCAGCTACCCTTCTTTGGCTCTGGGTCAACATCGTCGACCAGGGCTTGGCATCTACCAGCCTGGATGCAGTTTGAGTCTGCGTGACTTGACGTGTTACTCTGTTACCCACGTCTTCGGGCAATGACACCCATGACAGCGTACGGCTTGTCCTGCATTCAGAGTAGCTGCATGGCATGCACGCATACTCAGACTCAGCCATCTCGGCACCGAGTCATGGACACTTGTTGTCCCAACGCCGCACAGTGCTAGGCGCGACAGACCGTACCAACGATCCCTGCCGTGCAGCAGCCTTTGCCTTCAGACCGAGCATGCTCCTGCATGTGGTCATTGAGGTGTCGCCCTCCGGCAGACACGTTCCAGTCGTGATCGACCATGCTCGCCGAGTCGGCGGCGACGCAACATGCATCGCCGCAGGTACGTCGTGTACCCAAGCCACGTCTTCTGTGCGCATGGCCACAGCTGCGCTGGTCGACACCCAGTCGAACGTCATCCATGATGACCGGGTGCCAAGCCCTTGGAGGAAGGAAGTGCTTCCGCGCACTCCTCCCCCGCTTAAAATCAAAGCCGCGCGGCGCCTTCAAAAGGACCGTGCGGCTATGACATCGTGACGGTGTCACGAGCCTCTTAAACTCCGTGTGGTCATCCACCACACGCGAGGAGACCCAAGTGACCTGATCACTAGTCTTGGTCATACAGACCGTGCGTGGAACTAAGTTACCCACGCTGAAGTCGCTTCGAGCGACTTCTTCCGGCTCATGCGGAGCCTTACGGCATCGTGTGGAA